CTCGACAGCACGGGGAGAGATGAAATGAACTGAAGCCGTCTTATTTCAATGAGCTACAAATTACAGACAGCAGTAAAGACTTTGGACCAGTACATCAGTATAGCAGGAAAAGATGTGCTGTCACTTTACAGCAGAAAACCGAGGACCTAGCTTGGGCACAAATGGAACAAGAAACTTTAGAAAGCATTTTTGTTTCTTTTCGGTAAAGTTATATCAGCTACAGTAAAACACAACTTTATGGTTTTAGGTCAAATCAAAACTTGTACCTTTTTTTTTTTTTAAATTAAGATGTTGCTCTCAAGGGTACATTCAGCCAAAAGCCACTAGTGTGATGCGTTTTCCCTTTTAAAGGCCAAAGCACAAGACAGAATGACATGCAAAAATGATGTCTTCACATGAAGCTTTTAATCCCCCTCTCATTGTTTGTCAGTCCTCTGTTTTCCCCTTTATGTGTAGTTTTTTGTGTTTTTGAGATTGAGAGAAATCAGTTTTAATAAATATGACTTGAATTTCATTCTGTCAAGCGTATCGTCAGTTCCTTTTCTGGCTTAAGAGCGTACAATGTGAGGTGGTGTACAGAAATCAAGCGAGACCAGTGGATTATGGAAAAGTTGTTAAACTTCTTATATTTCTGTTACTATCGGGGCAAAATGAGATTTGACATGTTCGTCTGTGATCACAGCGATTCTCATGTAACTTAAGGCATCGATCTGCAATAGCACATCAAACCGGATTATTTTTCCACGTTGTGTGAGCTGTTTTATTGCTTGTTGAAAAATGAGAACCTCACAGAATCAGATAGTTCTCTTAATGTAGCAATGGAATTTTTCTTCACATACTGTAGGTTAAAACACCTCATCTGAACTGAGCTGCATTGTAACTTCAGGCAAACTGCTGTCAGTTTCTGTGGAGTGGTGATCGTTGACATGGAGAGGATTTGGTAAACACCACCAAGACCTACCTATTTTATGATAGTGAGAGTGAGTGAGAGAGGTGTTTTGTATTTGTATAACTGAATAAATTATTTCGAAACAATATAGTCATGTTTGGTCATATTTTATTACATATTTTTGGCATTTCAAGCATTCTCTTGACTAAAATTGTATGACTAAGTTATGTTTACTGTTGGTAATGTCTCATAAGCTTGTGTGAAATGGTAATCTTTTAAATCTTCAATCTCCCAGAAATCATCTGTTTCACAGAAATGTTGAACAAATAAATGAGATACTGCTGTCATTTTGGTCCTTGACTTGTTCTAGGGTACCCCACAGTAAAGGCTTTGAATTGGCAGATCTGTATTTGCCTGTGATTGTGTCAACAGTTTCACCAGGTATTATTTGTTAATTAATGGCGCATTAAGATGTGTATTAGTAAAGAAATTGAGATGGTTAAGTACCAGTAATGAATATAATATTTGCCATATATTGTAGACCTAAGTAGCATTTGATTTTTTTTAAAGTACCTCTTCTAAATCATTTCCAAAAAATGGAGGATTATTACGATATGTTAATAATTTATAGCCTCTTGGTTTACAATTGAGTTGTTTCCGAACTTAAATATTACGTGGTTACACACACACACCTCAAAAAAATAAAGGGAACACTAAAATAACACATCCTAGATCTGAATGAATGAAATAATCTCATTAAATACTCCTTTCTTTACATAGTTGAATGTGCTGACAACAAAATCACACAAAAATTATCAATGGAAATTAAATTTATCAACCCATGGAGGTCTGGATTTGGAGTCCCACTCAAAATCAAAGTGGAAAACGACACTACAGGCCGATCCAACTTTGATGTAATGTCCTTAAAACAAGTCAAAATGAGGCTCAGTAGTGTGTGTGGCCTCCACATGCCTGTATGACCTCCCTACAACGCCTGGGCTCCTGATGAGGCGGCGGATAGTCTCCTGAGGGATCTCCTCCCAGACCTGGACTAAAGCATCCGCCGACTCCTGGACAGTCTGTGGTGCGACGTGGTGTTGGTGGATGGAGCGAGACATGATGTCCCAGATGTGCTCAATTGGATTCGGGTCTGGGGAACGGGCGGGCCAGTCCATAGCATCAATGCCTTCCTCTTGCAGGAACTGCTGACACACTCCAGCCACATGAGGTCTAGCATTGTCTTGCATTAGGAGGAACCCAGGGCCAACCGCACCAGCATATGGTCTCACAAGGGGTCTGAGGATCTCATCTCGGTACCTAATGGCAGTCAGGCTACCTCTGGCGAGCACATGTAGGGCTGTGCGGCCCCCCAAAGAAATGCCACCCCACACCATTACTGACCCACCGCCAAACCGGTCATGCTGGAGGATGTTGCAGGCAGCAGAACGTTCTCCACGGCGTCTCCAGACTCTGTCACGTCTGTCACGTGTGCTCAGTGTGAACCTGCTTTCATCTGTGAAGAGCACAGGGCGCCAGTGGCGAATTTGCCAATCTTGGTGTTCTCTGGCAAATGCCAAACGTCCTGCACGGTGTTGGGCTGTAAGCACAACCCCCACCTGTGGACGTCGGGCCCTCATACCACCCTCATGGAGTCTGTTTCTGATCGTTTGAGCAGACACATGCACATTTGTGGCCTGCTGGAGGTCATTTTGCAGGGCTCTGACAGTGCTCCTCCTGCTCCTCCTTGCACAAAGGCGGAGGTAGCGGTCCTGCTGCTGGGTTGTTGCCCTCCTACGGCCTCCTCCACGTCTCCTGATGTACTGGCCTGTCTCCTGGTAGCGCCTCCGTGCTCTGGACACTACGCTGACAGACACAGCAAACCTTCTTGCCACACCTCGCATTGATGTGCCATCCTGGATGAGCTGCACTACCTGAGCCACTAGTGTGGGTTGTAGACTCCGTCTCATGCTGCCACTAGAGTGAAAGCACCGCCAGCATCCAAAGTGACCAAAACATCAGCCAGGAAGCATAGGAACTGAGAAGTGGTCTGTGGTCACCACCTGCAGAACCACTCCTTTATTGGGGGTGTCTTGCTAATTGTCTATAATTTCTACCTGTTGTCTATTCCATTTGCACAATAGCATGTGAAATTGATTGTCAATCAGACCACAGGAGTGTGATTGACTTGGAGTTACATTGTGTTGTTTAAGTGTTCCCTTTATGTTTTTGAGCAGTGTATATACATAAACCATACCTTAATATATAATATAATACATAAACCAGACTTACGCATTGTAAAAAGAGCAAATAAATATCTGCACAGGTTTGAGTTGGATGGAAGATTTTGACTTGTCATGGTAGGAAAAGCAGGTATTACTAATAATGACATTAAAAACTGTCCCAGGAAGACATGATAGTGTGAGCCAACATTCACAATACCATGTGCCTGAAACCAAAATATCAATTGAACTGAAATGAAATTCATCATTAATGATTTACTTTATTATTTACATCTGTGCTTTTCCTACGGTGACATGTCAATATGTCTTCTCTGAAAAGGCTTATAACTGAGCCTTTACAATTAGAGTGAGAGAGATGCTGGTCAATAAGCATGTACATTTAAATGTCTCGGAAATTAACAGTTTTTGATCACTGATACCTACAACACAGTGGCATCCTGGTTTGTTTATTCATGCAGCCACATGCTTATTAAACTGACAGCCTTGAACACGCCAGTGCTTGAAGTGGAAGAAAATAGATGCCAGTACTCTGCATTCATGTTCATGTTGGCGTGTGTATTAGCTCACAAGTCAACAAGGGCGTCACTTGGTGTAGAAAAGTGGTTGGGACATAAGGGCTTGGATTAGGGGTGTGACAACACTTGGGTCACGCGAATTAGAGGAGAAGAAATTTCAACACAATTTTGATTAAATATACGAGTGGGAAGATTTTTAGGCATTAAACTCCTAAATTACTGCATTCAAGAAGGGAGGTCAGACCAGCTGGTTTATTAACAGAGCATGTCTTCTTCCTTCTTGCCCATTTTCTGCACCAACTTATGTTGAAAATGTCTTTATTTATATTAAGGAAAAACAAAATATAACAACATAATAAAATATAATGCAGTAATCAGTAACTATTTTTATCTTAAGTTACTTTTTTTGAATCATGTACATTTGTTTGTTCTTTTAAATGGCATTGCATGTTTTCTTATTGTGCAAATAAAACTTTCTCAAGGCAGTTTCATTTGTTATTTTACATTTCTATTTGCAAGCTATTTTTCAGAACATTTTTAACAAATACTTTCAAAAATTGACTGGGACATTCTGATTTAGGGGACAGAGATTAGCAGGCAGGCAGGCGAGAACGGGAACAGGTGAGAGTCACATAGTGCCTAGGGAACCTGATATAGAGAGGGCAGCCAAGAGTACCGGCAACTTGGGAGAAGTGCCGGTACACTTCAAGCACTCCTCTTAACACATAAACAGTCAACAACTTGCTGAATGTGTGATCTCAGCAGGATGTCCTTCTTAAAGTCCTTCAGCCATCACTCCTGTTTTGTATTTTGTTTCGCACTGACTAAGGAAAACCGGTCTGTCATAGGCTCAGACATATTCTCCTGGGATTATGTCTGGAGCATAGACTGTACATAAAAAGGTCAGGAGTTAGTTCCTAGAGTTCCAGTAAAAGGAATGGCTTAAGGACTGTGTCCTTATGGAAGGGACCAACAGGTCATGATCTCCTCAGAGCTGACCCAGGCAGCGTCTTAAGAAAATAACCAAAATCAAATGAGATAGCAAATGAGCTTTTTTACTTAGATCAAAATGATTGTATTGATTTAATGATATTTATTAAGTCAACTGATTAGGTTTAAGTGTTTATTCAAAACAATGAGATAGAGAGTAAAAGCAATGCCATGGTTATGACTTCTAAATAGTGTAACGTTTTTGGCGTAGAATTTCATGATTTTCTGTTTAAGAGTTGGACTTTTTTTCTTGCGGGAATGAGTTTCCATATTGACAACTGTAGAGAGGGAGGAGTCCGAGTAAACCATGTAAACACGATCAATAGGAAACAAAAAAAAAAAATGGAACGATTGTTTCCCGAGTGGCAACGGAAGATTTTAACAGTCGGACCACGGACAACTAGCTAGGTAGCGGCCGTTGGAAACAAAACCGGACTGAAGTTTTCATGTTAACCTTAAACCTCGACCGTGTTTAATTACCAACATAGCTAGTTTTGACTGTTACCTTATTTTATCCAGACGTTGAGACTTTCGAGGTGAAGATGGGAGTACCGAAATTTTACCGATGGATTTCAGAGCGCTATCCTTGTCTCAGTGAAGTTGTCAAGGAACATCAGGTAGGAAACCAGTGATGTGATTAGCATTAGCTTCACAATCCACTGGCGCTCATTGACGCAGCGTTAGCTCAGCTAGCTCTTGGCTATTAGCGAGCTAAGTAAAGCGGGCCGTTAAACTTTTAGTCCGCGTAGCTTAATTTACCTGCGTTTTTGCCCGGCGACAGGACAGCTCTCTTGTGGCCCACAACACTTTTATCTCCATTATTTAACGTTAACGTTATTTCCCAAATTCCAAGACTAACGTAGCTTGATAGATGTTGGTCTTCTAAGTTACCTATAACAGCTGAACATGTTAACGTTAAACAAGTCAAAGTGCATATAACTTAACTTAACGTAAATGTGTTAACACTGGGTAGTTTAGGTCTTTGTCTGGCAAGAACATTCTGAACAACAATAAACCCTCACAGTCAGCTAAGTAAAGTTAACAAGAGATGAATAGAGGCTGCTGCTAGTTAACGTTATTGTTGCCAGCTAACCTACAACCGCCTTACTTTACAATGTTTGTGAAATTGTTTAAAATACCGCGATTATGTGGTCAGTCTTAGTTGATATCAACATGAGCATCTTTTGTTAACCGTAACGCTACATTACTTAGTTATTTGGGCTACTGGAATTGACATTAGTGACCTACTTCCCCGTGTTGGTAAAGAAGGTCGTATTTCAGCGCTTGAGCAGCAACAGTTTCATCAGCTGGACTTTGTGTCACACTCGTTGCGTAAGACAGCTTTTGATATGCGTGTTAAGACAATAAAAAAAAGACATTTTATGCTAGCTGATAACATTGAATAACGTTTCAAAAAAAACAACAACATATTGCTCTCCCCTTTTTCTAAACCTAAATGAGTAAACCTGGTTGCAGTTGCCCTTGACTTAACCCTTCTTTGGATAAATATGACCTGGATGACTGAGAATCTTCACAGACATAATCTTATGTAGATGTGAATGTTATGGGAGACGGTTATGAAGTTCTGTGGATTAGGCTGAATGAGCCCATTAGAAAGCTTTTGGTAAATAACAAAGATGATTTGAACCTTTCACTTGTTGCTCCCAAAATTTGTCATGAGAAGGATACCTCCTTGCAGCAGACACAACAAAGCATGTTAAAACATAAATGTTTTTTTTGTTGAGAGTATGTATGTATTCCAGACAGTCGAGGAATTGAAAATCAATTGATTTGACTAATTGGCCACAGGAATATTGCAGGATATACATTCATGCCGTTGCATTTGTTTTGTTGTTTCTTTCTCTCTTCAGATTCCAGAATTTGACAATCTCTATCTGGACATGAATGGGATTATCCACCAATGTTCCCACCCGAACGACGAAGATGTCCACTTTCGCATTTCTGAGGAAAAGATTTTTGCAGACATCTTCCATTACCTGGAGGTGCTATTCCGGATCATCAAGCCTCGCAAGGTCTTCTTCATGGCGGTGGACGGTGTGGCACCAAGGGCAAAAATGAACCAGCAGAGAGGACGGAGATTCAGGTAGAGATGGATATAAGATGACAGGAAACATGTTTGTTTATAGGGTGCTACACAGAATGGGTCAATTTGAGTCATCTGACCTGGGTTCTCCTCTGAATATCAAAGACAGTAGAACATGATTGTTAAATTTAGGTTGTTGCAGTAGCTTTTCTTGAGGTGACCAAATAAAGAAATGGAATTTTATGAACATGTCCGCACCATGATGTTGAATCTCAAGAGTAAATAATGCCACATTCTCTTTCAGTTATCTAATCAAGATGACAACTCTGTTCTCAAAAATATTTATACAGTGTCTGGTATAATTCTTTGGTTTAGCAGTGATGTTTGTGGTTATAAACCTGGACCTTACATGAACTTCCTAATAAGGCAGAATGAACAGACTAGAACCAAATGCAATATTTGCTTTGGTAAAGACTGAAGAAACAACACTACAAGCAAGGTAACAGCCTGAGACTGAGTTTGACCCGCTCTCTCTTATATCTGCCTGTGTGGGTGGGTGTCTGCGTGTCTAGGTCCGCCAAAGAAGCAGAGGACAAGATAAAAAAAGCTTTGGATAAAGGAGAGGTGCTTCCCACAGAGGCTCGCTTTGACTCCAACTGTATCACTCCTGGTAGGAATGCTCTCAATTTTTTACACAAAGGAACATCTCACTAAATCATTAAAAATGATGAAAAGTAGCTGTAGCAGAGCTAGTAAAGATACCTGTTCATTTCAGGGTACATAAATCAGTCTATTCTAACATTCAGTTAACGGGAAGATCTTGCCAAATCTGAAAAAGTGATCATGTTGAATTTCAGATTTAATTTTGAATCACTTGTGTTTGATAATTATAAAAGTTTTTCTTTCTATCTTTTCACAGTTTGACACTTAAGCATGCCCTTACCAGGTTGCCACAGACATGTTAACTTGCTGGTGCCATGTGGGACACTTCCTAACAATTTAGCATGTTGCAGGCAGTCATGCTAAACACATCAGTCGGACCTAACAAGTCCTGCTTAACTTTAGCTCAGCATTTTTTTTTTTTTTTAGTCTGGGTGCTTTCACACCTAACCTGTTTGGTGTGGTTCACATGACCTGTGTTGGGTTTGCTTGTTTGGTTTAGTTCATTTTGGCTGGTGTGAAAGCCGTCAATCTAAAGGCGCTCTTGGTCTACTTCCATGTGGAAGTTGTTGAGCACCATTTGTGGTGTGAAAACAAAGCGGACCAACCACAGGAATTTGTGATTGTAGATATGTATTTTTAGCATCAAATCAAAAGCTAGACTAGTTCTAAATCTATCTGCTGATCGTGAATTTTCAAGGAAGAGATCCTGTAACCAGTGTTGGGCAAGTTACTTCCAAAATGTAATACATTAGAGATTACTAGTCATATACATAGCCTATAGAAATCTATTTAGAAATGATCCATCAGGGGAGCTACCGTCTTGTTAAGAGGAGCCGAGCTTCCCCGTAGTTTGCACCCTGACTACAATCTCGACCATCGGATTCCAGCACCAGGAAATAACGTTACTCTTTAATTAAATTTTATTATTAAATAAACAAAACACCACTGAATTTCGACTTAAAATGTGTTGTTACACGGGTTACTGAGACTTTAACGGGTACAATATTACAGAATTTTTTAAAGTAATGTTATATTACTGCGTTACAGCTAAAAGCAATACATTACTGTAATTGCGTTACTTTTGTAATGCGTTACTCCCAACACTGCAGTGCATATAGTTTTCCAAGATAATTTCTTAACCATGGTAACAAACTGTATACAAGTCACTCTTTAATGTGTGTCTATGAAGGTTCTCAGTCATCCAGGTCATAGTTATTTAACAAAGGTTGAGGCTTCTGAAGAGACTTCTTCAGTTCTGAACCAAGTCCAGTTGCCCTTGACCTCAACCTTCGTTGGATACTTTTTAGTGTGTGGCATTTCCCAAGAGGAAAATCTCCTTTTTATTTTTGCAGTGCCTCATTTAAAAATGACTGGAACATAGCAGCCATGCAGTAACAATCAATGCACTTTTGTTATCTCGCATAAAGATTGTATGCATGCTATACAGATTTGAATTTTTGGGGGGGAAGGAGAGCACTGGTATTGGATCTGTACTACATATCCTGACTTGAGTTAAAGAATCCCAAACTGAGAACCTGTTGTTTAGTCCGTACCGGAGTTTGATTGACAGCTTTAACACCAACTCAAATGAACCGACTCAGATATGCAAACACACAAGAGTCTGAATGAAACGATCAAAACAGTTTAGGTGTGAAAGCATCCTAAGACAGTTTCAGCGTCATTGTTTATGTTTCTTGTAGAATGTCTTTTTATAATCTGTATTTTATTTTCTTTTACTGCTATTGCATCTCCGCATTCTGTGATAGAGGGAAAGGAAGTTCACAATACTCTTCCTCTATTTAGACACAGACACTATAGTGGAATTTAGGCAGTGTGGGTTGAGGTTATTCTGTTGAACTTTGGTGCAACTGCATTTTTCTCATTTGACTGCAACTATTACAGTAAAATGATATTGTTTTTAGCACTGACACATTTTATACTAACATATCAGATGTTTCTGTTCTGAGAAAGTTGGCAGCAACTCCTTTTTAATCACACATCCGTCTTCCAGGCACTGACTTCATGGCAAGACTACAGGAGCAGCTCAAGTATTTTGTCCACAACAAGCTCTCCACCGACAAGCTATGGCAGAATGTCAAAGTGTACCTGTCTGGTCATGAGGTGTGTTAACAGCTGTTTTAAAGAAAATGGCCACTGCAGTTTTAGTGGCAGTTTGTTGGCACCAATGTCCATGCCACTGTTCAGCTACTGGGATTCTTTTTCAGCCAAAGTCAATGTTGCTTGTACTATGTGTGTGTGTTTCTTTTCCTTACAGACCCCAGGCGAGGGAGAACATAAGATCATGGAGTTTATTCGCTCTGAAAACACCAACCCGGATCACGACCCCAACACCCGACACTGCCTGTATGGCCTGGATGCTGACCTGGTAGGGGTTGTGTGCACATGGTACTTCGATGAGGATGTACATAATTGCGCAAACACTCTTTGGATGCTTACACTGTCTTAATCTTTGTGTGTTTTAGATAATGTTGGGTTTAACCAGCCATGAGCCAAACTTCTCCTTGCTCAGAGAGGAGGTCCGCTTTGGAGGAAAGAAATCCCAGAAAAGGTTCTTATCCTTCTGATTTTTGTTTGAATAGTAGTTTATTTTAAGTTTTTCCAGACTTATTTACATGTCATTTCTGTTCTTCTTCTAATGTAAACCATGCTCTTTTCTTTTCTTCCAGGATAACGGCTCCAGAGGAGACAACTTTTCACTTGCTTCACTTGTCTCTGATGAGGGAGTACATTGACTATGAGTTCTCCGAGCTCAGGGTGAGGCACATAATATAGAAAGAACAGCACAATTAGTTTAATCATGCAAAGATGATTTATGGAAACAAAGTTTTTGTGTCTTAGTGTATTTCACATCAATATGCTATGTAATCTGTATTCTGTTTATGGGTGTTTTTCAGAATCATCTTGGTTCTGAATATGACTTGGAGCGAATAATAGATGACTGGATTCTAATGGGCTTCCTTGTGGGAAACGATTTCATCCCTCACCTCCCTCATCTTCACATCAGTCACGATGCTTTGCCGTTACTGTACAAGACCTACATCAGTGTTCTTCCCAGCCTGGGTGGTGAGAGACACACACACACAATCATTGCTACATCATTTACTTTTATGACAAAATGTTGCATATATAAATATCAAGCATTTGCAAGATGCTGAGTTTCCCAAGTTCTTGATAATATACTTATGCTCAAGTGAGTTGTTAGTTTCACGTATTGTTTGCACTGGTCAAAATGTTTGGCACATGTCAGCCATTTTAATATAGAAATATGAAATGCTTATTTCATTTACTTGAAAAAACAAACCTGAATCCTGTTTTTCCAACTCAGGTTATCTGAATGAGAACGGCCATCTAAACCTCAGAAACTTTGAGAAATACCTGGAGAAGCTTGCTGAGGTGAGACAACACTAAAATAGGGGTGTAATGGTAGACAAAATTCACGGTTTAGTATGTACCTTGGTTTTGCATTTTCGGTACTGCGGGGGAAAACAAAAGAAAGTAGTATGATAGAATTTCTGTCATTTAATTTGAAAAATTTAAACATTCACCAGTTTCTAATTGGACTCAATTCTTACTGTAACAGTTAATGTACTCAAATACTGGTATATTGTCATTTAAGAAAAAATGTTCCATCTTAAGACTCTAAAACACACAACTTTTATAACTTTGAACAATGATTTTGGAGAAACTGTATCATATTCTGTTCAGTTTCTACAGCTTTGGTCTCTCATTTGTGTTTGCCATTTGGATGCAACAGCACTAAATAGGGCTGGACGATATGGCCAAAAATGTTATCACGATAAAAAGTTTCATATCTTTTGATATTGATAATTATCACAATAAGTATCAAATGTTTTTTTCATTCGAGTTTAAAGGCTGATTTTTGCTCCTGAGTGAAAGTTGAAAAAATATGATGCTTAATGCTTAACTTAATGGTTTAAACTCTTCTTTATGTTCAACACTTGATTTTCCAAACAGTGGATCACTCAACAAATCTGAGGTAGAACATTCAAAAAAATTATGAGAAAATCTCAAAATAAATATTTTAGGGCTGAAACGATTCATCCATTAAATAGATAAAATCGATTCATAAAATGCTTAGACGCAAATTCTTTGAGTCGATGCTTCGTTTAATCCATGTAACTATACAGCACAGTGTTTCGCAGGGACATTTATTACTGTCGCACATCGCGTTTATGCTGTGAACAACAGCACGACGGCAGCTTATCAGAAAGCAGCCGGTGTTCTGCCAGCCGACCACAGACAGTAACAGCAACTTTAGCATTTAACTGAAATCATGATTGATTGTTGAGTTGAAGCCAAAGTAAGCCGCAGACCTCAGCTGAAAATGTCCACATGTGCGTTTGTTGTTCTTTTTGGGCCGTGAGTTGTGACCTCACAGTCAGGAGTTATCTGGGTGTCGGGGAGCTGCACCTTTTAACTCAACTCCAGCTCTCTCTGTAGCTCAGACGATCCCTGCTACCTGCGTGTGCTAATCCATCCTTTCACCCAGATTATTTGTCTTTTATAATTGCCATAGTTATAATAACAAACAGCTGTTTCATGTGCAGGATCGCTCATTTCACGTGTGTTTTCTTGATAAAAGTGGTTTGGAAACCAGCGTCGGGTGCCATAGCTGTTGTCAGCTCCTGTAGTGGGTGTGACTCCCTGCCGCCGCCGCCAAGCAAAAGTACTTCTTAAACGACGCATCGATGAATCGTTGAAATAATTCAATAGAAGCTTCGAATACTAAAATCATCATTAGCTGCAGCCCTAAAATTAATTAAAAGCTTAAAGCAAAATAAACATCTTAATAAAAAAAAAAAAAGAAGCCCTAATTCGTGGATGACTCAAGTGAATAAAATCAAATTTTTGTTGAACATTTGTTATATTGTTATTGGAAAAAAAATCGCAATAAATATTGTTATCAGAATCATTGTTGTTGTTTTATTGTCCAGCCCCAGCACTAAATGAGCTTGACTAACTAAGCTGACTAGCATGCTACCATGGATACAACATCAGAGGTGGTGACTTTTCATTCCTAATGAGTAGATTTGGCTATTAGTGAATTTTACAACTATTAGGACAATGATTAAGGGCTGTTAAAGTGTACATGTACCCCCTAAAAATTATCCGCTGATTTACATATGTCTCTTTCACATTGTAAGTCTATGGGAAGCATATTCTACATAAATAAACAATTATGATATGATAATTGTTTGAGTCACGAGGTGTACCAAACTGAGAAATTTGCTGTCTGAACCCATCATCCTGTACCGAACAGTTGAATACACGAACTGTTGCAGCCTTAACTGTAAAGATTAGCGTAATCACGTTAAAGGATTTAGTCAAAACACAATAACATAACTGTTAGTATCAAATGTAAGAACAAATGATGCCTTATACAATAAATTCATTTGGTTTGGTAAGTGAAGTCAACTAAATAAAATTTACATTTTAAAAATGTTAAATACTGTTAATACTAACCAACTTGGAACTTTTAAATGAAATAAAGTTGGTTTCTTAATTAATTATTACTTGATTGCTTATATTTATAAACCACCATAAATAATAATTTAAATCTGTGACACTATTCTTTTCTTTCTTTGCTCTTTTTCTTCTTCCCTCCAGTTTGACCGGGAACATTTTAGTGAAGTGTTTGTGGACCTGAAGTGGTTTGAGAGTAAAGTTGGCAACAAGTATCTGAATGAGGCGGCCGGATTGGCTGCAGAAAAGGAGGCTGCCAGCAAAGACACAAAGAAGAATGAGGTTTAACAACAATAATATACATATATAAACACAAACACGAACAGAGATGCAGCAACTGCACATTCATTCATTCATTATTTTCATGTACAGATTCAGTCACAGTCCCTGCAATTAATTAACAAACTTAATTCAATTCATCACGTGTGTAGGATAATGCCCTCTGTCTGGCAGCTCTGACCTCATCAGAAAGAGTGGTTGGAGAAGGAAAAGGAGCACTTGGAGACGATGAGGACGAGGAGGACGATATGTTTGAAACAGAGTTCAGACAGTACAAGCGCACCTACTATATGACCAAGATTGGGGTGGATGTGGTATCTGAGTAAGTATATAGACGCACACGCAAACATACAATGCAAAGCGAAAAATACTTACTACAGGAGGTGGGGCTCCCTAATACGTTTATTATATATGTACTGCTCAAAAATTAAGGGAACACTTAAATCACACATCAGATCTCCAAAATCCAAAATCTTTACATAGTACACATAGTATAATTTGTTGAGAACAAAATGACGTAACGACTAATACATTTTTTTTTACTTAATCGACAATGGTCAAACATGTATGTGAAAATTGAAGTAGTTTATGCTAAATACACCAGTTTGTAATTTGCAGGTGACCCTAAAATGTATTATTAATCTCTCGTTTGCAGTGAGTTCCTAGCCAAGCAGGCCAAGTGTTATGTGGAAGGTATCCAGTGGATTCTCCATTACTATTACCACGGGGTTCAATCCTGGAGCTGGTAAGAACTTCTTTCTCATATGTGAATTACTCTGTACTCTTTGTTTCTTCTCACTCTAGCAACCTGGGGACGTCATCATCATCATTTATTAAATTTTCTCTCAGAAATGAGGGAGTATCAGGTGATTTCTCAAATGGGTATCTACTGTACATCAAGCCCAGCTTTAGTGAAAGCTTTTAGCACCATGCCTTTGAATCAAAAAAACAACTAGCAATGTAAAAACTATTGCTTTTTATTTGAGGAACACTGTTTTCCCCTTTTCTCATGTCCATTCTATTTGTGCTCTTCAGTTTGTTCATTTTTTAAAGTCTTTGAATGATGTATGTATGTCTCTAGGTACTACCCCTACCACTACGCTCCCTTCCTGTCTGACATCAGGAATATATCTGGGTTAAAGCTGACCTTTGACCTTGGGAAACCCTTCATGCCCTTTCAGCAGCTGTTGGCAGTCCTGCCTGCTGCTAGCAAGGAGCTGCTGCCTGAGGCTTACAGGGTAACACACTTTCATCCAATCACATGTTCTCACAAACATAATATATATTACAGTATATACACATACCTAATCTTGGAATTTCATGTGGTACAAGTATCACAAATTAGTCTACATGTAAACGATATTTATAAAGTAGCAACAACTGAAAAGTGTGGGGTTTATGAACACATGAAAAAATGTATTGTTTTTGATGTTTCAGCACCTGATGATGAGTGAAAATTCACCCATAATTGAGTACTACCCTCTTGACTTTAAAACGGACCTCAATGGCAAGCAGCAGGAATGGGAGGCTGTGGTTCTCATTCCCTTCATAGATGAGGTACACACACACACACACACACACACACTGAGGAAAATGAATTGCACGACTGTAAAAAAGACATACGCATTAACAGTATATGTGTGTATTGTGTATTTATTGAACAGAGGTGCTTACTAGCAGCCATGGAGCCCTGTAATCACAAGCTGACTAAAGAAGAGAAGGCCAGGAATTGTCACACAGAGTGTGCAGTCTACTCATATGACCACGAAATAGACTACACATACAACTCCACCGTGCCTCACCTGTTCCCTGACATCATCCACTGCCATGTCCGGTAGGTGCACATTCTCCCCTAGAGATTTAACAACAAGTTGATTTGTCTTTCTCAAATGATCTTTTATATCACCATTTCAGTCCACTGGATTCACTAGGATACACGCGATTACAAGGAGTAATATTCAAGAACATTTATGCAGATTATTATTATTATCATCAAATTGGACAGCTAAAAGCATTAAGATATTACAATTTCTGATGGATTCTATAAGAAAGCTGCAATTTACGTGAAGATAACAAGCAGAAAATTTTTAAAGAGTGAAAGCTAGTGAGGAATTTATTAGGATTTTTGCTGCATTTCATTAGTTATGGTTTTACTGTCACATGGCTTTGTCAAGAAATAGATTTATTTGTCCATGCTTTAAGAAACAAATGGAACCAAAGATAGCCATTTCAGCCATTATACCCACTTAGTTGACATGTAGCTTGATGTTCACAGATTGATTGTATTGTATTTGTGTGTTACAGGAAAGCAAACATCCCTATGGATGCCTGGCATGTACCGTTGGACCACGCTAGAAGACCAGTCGACCGCTCAGCTCTGTACTTCTGTGGTTTCCCCACACTGCAACACATAAAACACAAGGTAGATGTTTGTGTGTGTGTGTGTGTGCGCGCGTGCATGGAGTATACACACAGGGTGTCTTAAAAAGTTGTAAAAGGTAATAAATCAATTTTGTTGAGGCCATTAAAAAGTCTTAATCGCCATTTAACAAGGTATTCAATTTTTAAGAGATTTTTTTCAATGTGAAAATCCTGTTTGTCCAAAAGTTTCTTTGCTAAAAGTGTAGATGAACATATGTATATATAATGCATAGCCAAAAATTCTAGACAGGCAGTGAGTAGCGACTGTGTGATTTGTCTCTGTAACGTTAGGTGCAGGTATCTTCCGTGCGCCTATTTCACTCTTAAACACAAATAGATCAGTGCGAACCGGAAAATGAGTTACGAGTACAACCAACCGTAACCCTCAATGCTAATCGTCCAAAACATAGTCAGAGTGGTGATCAGGAGTAACAGGATTAACCCGATTGGCCGGTCGCTCTGTGGCCAGTTGAAAAGCCTCGTTCCTCGAAAACAAGAGCGAGATGCGCCCCCAGCAGCTGTATCGGCAAGACAGAAGACAACAGAGAACATTCATGGAGCATGTGGGTTTGGCTAACGTTAGCTGGCTATTTAGCTTAATCTGTGCCCTTTTTATTGAAACACATTCAACTTTTCATAAAGCTGATATTCTCGTCAATGTCACTTTGAACAGATAAATCACAGCCTGGATGGAGCAGGATTTTAAAAAAAAATTTGTGCTGCAACAAACTTTAGAAATGTTGAACTCAGTGTTCTGCATAAATGGGTATGATTATTGACGAGTTAGTAGCCTGCCCAAAATCAAGGTTGGAGGCTATCATGTAGCGTAGAGCATTTTTCTTGCACAAAGTTATTGAATAAAAAACAACCCCAATCTGAAACGGCTGTAATTTGAATTAATATTGTACTAGTGGTAAGTTATATACTATTGAATATAGTAACATAATGAATATATTAATATCAAACTTACAGTTTACTATTAAGTTAACAATGTACTTTTAACTTAATGTTATAATATTATACTAAGACAGTCATTTAGACTAGTTCCTCCTCCAGGTTGTGCCTGTGCTATACCGCCTACACTACTTACGTTATTCCTCACTCAGTTTATTCTCTTCATCTTTGTTTCCTCCTTGTTGTATTGATCGAGTGGTCGATGAAAGATATCACACATATCATTGCAGGCAAGCTCACATTATCTAGTTTAAACCAACTAAAACACAAAATTACACTGTGTTTCACATGATTTGCTGCAATGTTGCGTACATAAACGTCATAGCTTATGTAAGACGGTGGCTTTGAAAACTGTTGGCCCATAGAGGCTGTTATAGGCAACTGAGAAAGTTGGTGAATGCCTCAATCTTTGGTGGCGTTACTTCCTGATGACATATAGGTAATAAATATGTTATAAATATATTTAAATTCCTTTTTAAAAACTCAAAAATTTTCATTTGAAAGGTGTGTGACTGACTTAATCGGTTACAGCTTAAAGTGGCGCGGCAGTCTTAAAATATGTTGAAAAAGTCTTGAAAAGGTCTTAAAAAGGTATTAAATTTTACTTTAAGATTCCTGTATATACCCTGAATCAGTATATTTGTTTTGGATGGCTAGCTTACATTGAAAGGATCCAAGCCCCAATACAGGGTTTGATGAATTTAGCCTAAACTGTTATATGAAGCCCTCACTTGAAAGAGTGCAAACATAAAAACATTTGTCCCAGTCTGCATAAGTTCCTCAGTAAAAGCTTGTGTTAGTTTATTGAAGACTATTTGAAAGTAGAATACTTCAAAAGTATAGAAACTTTAATGAAAGCTGCAACTTTATGGTCTCTCTCTCTCTCACCCCACTGTCTTTGTCTGACTCTTTTTTTTGTTTTGTTTTGTTTTTTGTTTTTTTGTTCATGGACTCGCTCGCTTTTAGTTTTTTAAGAAGAAGAGTGGCGTGGTCGTGTTTCAGCAGAGCAGCAGAGGGGAGAACACAATACTGGAGATCCTCCCCAGCGAGGAAGGAGAAGCGGTGAGCGTTTATTTGTTAATTTTATTTCTTAATTAATTAAAGAGTTGCTCAAAATATTTCTTAATTAGAATCTATCTCTCTCTCTATCTAAAATTAACAGAATATAAGGCATTCATTATTTTATTATAATTAATAATAGCATACATTTATTTATACTGTTACATTGGCAAAGGCCAGGTACTAATTTTGGCATCTCCATATAACATGGCAGTGATGTGAGCTTCCTTTAGATCGGGCTCAAGAAAAGTCACAGGATCTCTAAAATAATTAGTTTTTTACTCGGTTTTATATCAAACTACACATCAACCTACTTTTATTTAAACACCCCTAAATAACAGCAGTAGTAGTCCATGTCAGTAGGTACTAGAATTTTGAATGTGAGGAAACATAATAATTTTATCCTGCTTTGAATTCTTAAAGCACAAAAACATTTGTGTGCCCTTGCTTGATGAAGAAGACACACTTTATTAATCCCACTGAAGGAAATAAATTTTTTTTTTTGTTGTTGTTGTTGTTGTTGTTATTATACACACAGTTAGTGGTTCAGGTTATTGCCACTACATATCACTGGTCTGTGCTGGATTCAACCCAGCGACCCTCGGGTTTCGAAGCCAAGTCCCTACGGACTTAGCTAATGTCTGTTACACACTTTTATGTATAAATCAAATTTCCGCTCACTTGTGTATTTTTTTTCTTTTTTTAGGTATGTGATGATGTTGCTGTACTGGTACTGGGGAAGTCGGTGTTTGTCAACTGGCCGCATCTAGAGGAAGCTCGCATCATTGCTGTGTCAGATGGAGAAGTCAAGTAAGAATTAATACTGGGCCTTTGCCAATAATGGTGTGTCTGGTGGAAGTTTGTTTTAGATTTTCAGATGAGTCAAAATGTTGCTACTGCTGCATCGTTCTGTAGACATGCAGGTTTTGCACCCTCTGGATATATTTTACACAGAAAATGATCAGTGTATTAAGTAAAATAAAGTTATTGTCATATCTTATATTTGAGATCCTGTGATTTTTATGGAAAGCTTTTTATCAGTCAGAAAGTGCTGAAGTAAAAATATTATGTTGATGAGGAAAACAGACACCGTGATAACTCTGTTGATGCAGAGAAGGCAGATCATTTGAGGTACTACCACTGGGGGGTGCCAAATTCTACACAAAGTGGCTTTAAAATATAAGATGGCAAACCCATGCCCACAATCAGGAAATGTAGCATGCATGTCTGTTTGGCTTCGGCTAGCACAGAGTTTTAGTTTAAGCATGAATCAGCTGTTGCAAATGAAGCTTCGCCCTGTTCTGCAGTTTTTGTTTAGATGAACCACCTGGTGTCCAAAGAGTGTATGATCAACCCTCCACTCCCCCTCCCACCAAAGTAACCTCTCTGTCTGACAAGGAGCAGAAGGATTGGGTGAAGGATGTCCAGGGAATCACTGAACAGTAAGGCGCAAAAACAAACAAAAGGAGATACTTTGTTTTAGGAATAAATAGAGAATACACAGCTGTTTTAAAACATATTGTAAAGGTCCCATATTATGCTAATTTTCAACAACAGCTACAGTTAGGAGTATCTATCTATCACGAAACTAAATCACAGACTTAAGGCAGAGCAGGTAGAAGACATCAGACGGAAAACCAGAAAATATTTACCTTTCCTTTATAACCGTAAAAGCACTTTCCTGAATGTTCACTTGGTGTTATGTTGATGTAGAAGGTTGGACGGTGGGGGAATGGTTGAGAGAGGTGTATTTAGTTTGTGTTCAGTGGAAAAAGGTATGTCAACTGCGCCCTCCAGCCAAATTCGGCGTGTTCGCACACACATTTACAGATTGACTGAGCAGGAGAAAAAGAGAGGATGTTTTTTTTTCTTGTAGTTTGGGGATCCACCAGGGGTACACATTTAGGTTGAAAAGACATGAAAATTTTGCAAACATATGGGACCTTTTAATAGTAATAATGTTTCTTATGTCTTTGTGGTTAAGAGACCTTTAAAGCAGTTGTGACATTGTACACTTGAAACTTTTTGTTTGTATGCTGCGTTCACAATTGTAAGGCCTCTTCTTTCCTAAAATTATGAAATGAAGCATAACCTCTCCTGTCTTATTTCCCATGTTTATGATTCCTTTTATCAAAGTGATATTTCTATCTTGCAGTTTCATGAAGAGGAAAGGCATCGTGGTGAATGAGACATCTGTGGTTTTGTACGGCCAGTTGCTGACGGGAAGAAAGTACGTCCCCAAAGCCAATGGGGTGGTGGAACTAGAGAAACAGTGGTCGAAGCAGGTCCTCCCTTTCGCCTACCAGACCGTGGTTAAGGTACATGCATACAAGAAAGGAAATCACAAAAAAAAAGTCATGGAAGACTGTGACTCGCTAAGCTCCATGAATGCAGTACGTTTGAGCCAAAGGGAAAGGGCTAGGGAAATATTGTTGTCATATATATAGTCCTTTATAGGTTTTATTAAGTTACTCACCCACTTAGATAGATACATACACACACACACACACACACACACACATCCTCCATCTGACACACACTTAGGTTAAGTACTACTCAGGTACAGATTTTGTGCTAAGATGTGGTGTTTTCCAGCAGGGCCATGAGGCTGCAGAAAAAACTGCCTGAGCTGAGGAGTACAGACAATCAGTCTAAACTTACAAATAAACCTTGCAAATGCCAACAATATGTGTCTGTTAATTATGTGCGCAGTGTTTTCCTGTTAACTGATAAGCCTGAAGGCGCTATACCTATTCACCCTGTTTCAATTCCTCACTCTCTCTCTCCCTCCCTCACTCACTCATTACTCCCCATATTCCACTTTTCCCTTCATCTTCTCAGGATATCAAGGCCTTTTACTCATCTCTGACCAGCTTTAAGAGCTTAGACGAGCTCTTTCCTCCAGCAACCAATGTCTTCATGGTGGGGAACCCTTACTACGGTGCCATGGGCGAGGTATGTGACCAGTAACATATTATAAATAACTATATTGATTGTACATCTGAAAGCTGGAGTAACTGCCATCTATGGACAAGGGCTTGGATGTGCTCTCTCTCCTATAATGACATCACAACATGATGTTTTAAAAGCTCCTCCTATCACAGCGCTTTTTATCTAGCAATGTTTCACAAGGGTTCTTTAATTATTCTTGGCTTTTTGAAATATTAACAGGTGCAGGATTCTAGTGATGTCATTAAAGACGGTCGGGTACGGGTGGTCTTCAGCGTGCCACAAGAACCACAGCTTGAGACCTTAATCCAGAATCAGCATGTAAGAGACACAAACACACACACACACACACTTGTGACTGTGTTAACTGAGAAATTGTGTTGCTTATGAGAGTACTTTCCATGCAGAGCCATGCATGCCTCACATATGTACTGTATGCCTGCATGTTTTTGTATTTTGTAGAAGTACTGTGTGAAGTACAGTCCTGGATACGTTCTGGCATCTCGACTCGGCATCAGCAGCTACCTTGTCTCCCGCTTCTCAGGAAGCATCTTCATTGGCAGAGGCTCTAAGAAGAAGTAAGTGTTCAGTCACCTTTCAGATACAGGTTAAAGCTAACACATACCATATTTATTTTAAAACATGTTAAGATGTTGAGATGATTCTACATTAAAGATGTAGACACACATTACACTACATTCATCCCAACCTGAAAACTTGTTGGTTTAAAAAACAAAAAACCTCCTTGTACTATTCTATATTTTTAGTATAGAACATTAAATTATTATATTAAAATATTTAGTTTGTTCCACTGATCAGAATCTTTCCTAATGTCTCCTTCTCCACACCAATGTGTGTCTGCAGTCCTTGTGGGGAGCAAAGAGCTAACGTTGGCCTGAACCTGAAGTTCAACAAGAAGAATGAGGAGGTTCCTGGATACACAAAGAGAACGGAAAAGGAGTGGCTCTACTCTGTTGCTGTGGAGGAATTGCTAGCTGAATACCTGGACAGGTAAAAAAAAAAAAACTGAAAACTTGAGCGCTGCACCCTCTGTATTCATCTTCCACCAGGCTTTTGATTTTAAATGATCTTTTTTATGCTTTGATAGATTTTCTGAAGTGTTCGAATTAGTGTCCAGAAACAGTCATGATGATGTTTTCTATGAAGATGACATTTGGCCTGGATTTGACCAGAATGGGTAAAACACACACACATGTACATAGATGGTATTTAATATCTTGTGATTTCAGCAGTCTGTTTGAAATAATTGTCTTCTGGATTAATTGAGATAAAGGATAATTTTGGTATTTTTAAACCAGGGCCCTATTTTCACATATTTTGGTGTTGAAATGACTGGTAGATACAGAAAGTTTTGGAATCTGTACAGTAGTGCCCTTCAGAATTACGTCAACAAAAAGCGCTTCTCTGTGCCACAGACAAACTGTTACACCAGGTGTCACAGCTGTGACAACATCATGGAAAGGATCCCTATGAGCGACACCCTTTGCTTTTAACAGGACCCTAAAGTCTCGCTCAAGGACAATTCTCGCTCTGAAATCTCGTGAGAGGCGAGTTTTTTTGCAGGAAACACCGGTGGAAATGAGGGAGAGGAGTTTGTTGTGTACATAGAGGAACTGTTAGCACTGATGGGTCTTCCTGCAAAAACTCAACTCTCACCACATCTACTGCATGGATTTCTAAACCTTTTGTACCAACTAGTCATTTTGACCCCAAAATGAGTTTTAAAAAGGGCCCATGTTTAAGAAATACCAAAACTACCCTTTAATTGTGTATTTATTAATGATCTCTGATATTGATGGACACCCTAAAGGGCGGAGAAGGTTGCAGAAATCACTTCATGGTTGAAAAGTCACCCAGTAAGCTCCATCAGCAGGGCGTCATGTGACCTACAAGTGCTAGACTCTGCCATCGTGGAGAGGATTGAGGAGGCAGTGGAGAAAACCAAGGTGACTCCAAACATACAGCTTCAAACTGAAGCATATTTCCTCTACTTACCATCATAAGAAGCTCTTTCTGTGTGAACTTAGGTCCCCCAATTCATACCCCTCTCTTTATATCCTCTCTGTGTCTCACTCTCACCATCCTTCTCTTAGGTGAAGAAGAGCACGAAGAAAGTCCGTGTCACAGTCAAGCCTCACCTCCTCTTCAGGGTGAGTACGTTTTTCCTGCATGTGTGATTATGAAGATGTGTCTTTGGCAGACTTTTTGCACACTTCATGATAGTAAATCAGAATGTGTTCACAACGCTTTGAGATCTGAAAGGTCTAGGGACAGATTTCATGCACATCACACTTTCTTTTTATTCTAAAAATCATTGTTACAGTGAAGGCGTAGCTAAGAAGATAATTGATTATTAGTTATATGTAAATTAACAGCAAACACGAAAAATATAGAAATTCATATAAAGACGTCACTTTTTTTGGGCTTTTGGAAATTTTTATGAGAATTGTGACATATTATTTACCAAACAATCAATTAAGTGAAATGATAAATGGCAGATTAGTCAGTCATGAAAATAACTGTTAGTTGAGCTGTACATATAGAACTGTGCAAAAGTTTGAGGCAGGTGTGGAAAAACTGCTCTAAAGTATGCTTTCAAAAACGTTAAGTCAAGTTAGTCAACAAAGTGCAAAAATCTAAATCAAATCAATATTGGACGTGACCACCCTTTGCCTTCAACGTATTGATTACTGGCATTATGGATATGTGAATGCCTGTGTGTAGCCCTTGGAGCAGCAGCAGGGAGTGGTTCCAGACCCGGAAGCAGAGTATCGCCTGTTTGACAGAGTGGTCAACATCAGGGAGAGCTTCACCGTCCCACTGGGACTCAGAGGAACTATCATCGGCATTAAAGGGGGTGAGGACACACTGTTTGATTTCTTTCATTCTGATTTCTTCACACAGCCTCAGCACTTTTTATAAATGAGAAAAAGTACATGCAAGATATAATTTTCACACTTTTATATTGTGTCTGTCTTTGTGCCTTCAGCGGAGCGGGAGGCAGAGGTTCTCTACGAAGTGCTTTTTGATGAAGAATTTGCTGGAGGTCTTAACATCAGGTGACCACACTAAGTGAATCTGCAGTGTTGAGTTGAGTCTCAGTTAGAAACTCCTCTAGAGGAGAAACTGTATAACAGAACAGGACAGAGTAGAAAACAGAACTGTAGCATATTATTATAATAATTATGCAAACAAAACACTAAATGTGTTAGTTGTTGGCACCCCCTCAAATCCACACCAGACCATGTGACTGTATTATTGGCCTGTGTCCTCAGGTGTTCATCACCTCGCGGTTACCGCCTCCCTCCCTGCGCTCTCATTAACTTCTCCCACGGAGCCCGAATGGATCTGTCATTTCACAAACTCACTGCCGTCGTCAAACCTCAGCCCTCCGCAGCCGCAAACTTCAGCTCTCAGCGCCAGCTGTCCGGCCTGAACCACTCTCCACGTTCACCCTTCATACCGATGCAGGTGAGAGGGCGGCTGCACAGTCTTTTTATTTATTTTATTTTTTCCCTGTTAGAATTTTAAAAACGATGAGAAATGTTGTGTCTCGGACGGCTCACTGCGCCATCTTCTCACTCAAACCTCTTTCTCCATTCTACCTCTCCACTCCTCATCTGTAGCATAACAACAAACACGGCGGGGTGAAAGCAGCCTCCCAGGGCAACAGGAACTCTCCCACTAAAGGAATCCAGAAACAACCGGCAAAGGTCAGGGTCTTCTGTATTTAGACCCCTCTCACTTTTATAGCCCTTAAACTGTGTGATCTGTCAAATATACATGACACATTTTCCAATTCATTAGCTGTTTATCTGTCTCACCGCTTCTTTATCCAGGGTAAAGAGGAGTACAGTAACGTGTGGCAGTCTCTGCAGAACTCGGCTGCTCCTCACAAACCTCCGGCTCACTGGCATTCTAATGTAAGTGTGTGTGTGTGTGTGTGTGTGTTCAGGGGCCTTTTCAATTATTAATACTGAGAAATATAATAATAATATAGCTCCATGGTGTTGGTCCTTTCCGGAACCTGTTTTATGTCTAGATATTATAACCAAAAGATCCCGTATTAGTTTTTCGATGTGTTCGGGGCCCCGTTTCACCAAATTTGCTGCATTAATCAAATTAAGTTAAATGCAATTTATGAGAAAGAATCACTTGTGAAACGTAATGCTGCTATTATTCAAGCAGTGACCAACCTTTATTTGCCTCAACATTGCCTGTGACACAGTGTCAGTGGAATGTGGGATATTTTCCTCTTAATAACTCATAAAGATCTTACTGTGTATTAAAAATAAAATAAAATAAAAATTATGTTTTCAATTCTAGGATGGAAATCCCCAGCAGGGTGGAAACCAGCACTTCAATAAAGCTGTAAGGACACACATGCACAGAACAGAACTGCGTGTTCTCCCAGCACTCAGACAGCCTCATCCTGCTCTTGAGTTGATTTTAAATGCTGACTGTTTCAAACATGACCCAAAAAAGCAGTTTATAAACTTGAGATGCATGTGTGGGGGAAAATATATATTTATGCATGTCAGTTGTACAGTAATATATAAAGCATGTGGGTTAAAGAAAGAGAGATTCTTTGACGTTTTACTTTTTGTGTGTGTGTGTGTGCATTGAGTTGTGTTGGTGTGACTTTGGATGCAGACCGTTGCTGTAATGTATATGCTTGATGTTAGATGTGTTTGTGTGTGCTCTGCAGGCCCCAGTTGGTGGCATCAGACTGTTGAAGAAAAATGAAGACGCCAACTCCCTTTTCCCCACAGCCAACACAGCCAATAAGGTACAAACGCATTTAATCTCCTCACAAGGGTCAAAGGTTTGCATCCAGTTGCTTGTTTTAAACCACAATGCTCAGAATCTTGTTTGGCCGTTATTAAATTTGACCACAGCAGTATGTGTAAAATAAAGTCTCCTCGCTTCAAATCTTCTGTCTCTTCACACATTTCTCTCACTTAGACTACAACTGAGTTTGAGGACCTGATAGCCAGTCTCAAGATCTCCAAAGGTAGCCAGCAGACCCCACCGCCTCCTGCTCCTCCACAAGTGCCCACCAGCCAGTCAGATGGCCCGTTGTCTCCACAGTCCTTCGCCATGGTGAGTATCGGAGGCAACGAGTGGTTAAGATGGCAGGGGTCTTCTTGTAATGCATAATAGAGCCTGACAGATATGGGATTATTAAATTTGAGATATCGGCCTATATTAATTAATTTTTTCTTGTGTGTGTGTGTGTGTGTGTGTGTGTGTGTGGTTATGAGACATCACCAAGATATGCATAACATAACGCAGTTTAAAAATAAACTTTTTTATTGTTATAAATAATTTTGGTTCCAAACACGCTTGTTGCCATCAGGGGAGTTGCTGAGTGCCCAAGGTGACAAACTATGAAACAACAACCCTCATAACATGATTAAAGGATCCGTGTTTCGTCTCTGTGTTGCTCCATTTATCAGCTGTTATGAACACTGATACGGATTAATCTGCAGTTAGCTTATATCTGCTCTAATGCATAAGTAAGGTACATGAAGAAGATTTGAGAGGAGTAAGAACATTTTCAAATTACAGCCTTTTATGTTAAAGAAGATTTAACACATCACTGTTCAGGTCAGGATAATTGAACTGGGTTTGTGATCTGTCTGTTGTAGAAGGGTACCCTGATGTTGAAGGAAATGCTAAAGATTGACAGTCCAGGAACAGGAAGTCCCACGTCCCAGGAGACTCTTAACAGCGCTTCCTCCGGTGGCCGGCAGCAGAACAGGAGACGATCGTCCAAGAAACTAGGTATGTAACTGCTGATCACCACACCACAAGCAAGTTCACTGCAACCAGCTATACAAACCAAGTGAGGGGGGCAACTGTCCGTATACAACCTCAGCCATGTCTTCCATCCCATTTTCTCACCTCCAGCCGCAGCAATGAACGCCCCCCACGGCGAAACAGCTGTATTAGCTCCTCCCACATTGACCGCCTCTGCCAACCTCTCCAACACAATGCTGACAAGTAAGGTGTCCGAGCTGGCGTGCGTCTGTGTGGGGTTAGGAATGGCACCACCCGAGTTCAGCTTCATAGGCAACAGACAGGTAACACAGTGCGATGCATGTTTGTTTTTTGCAACACACAATGTTTTCGTCATGCCTTCCACAAATACCTAACTATTACAGAAATCATTGTGTTTTGCATTTGGCAGAAAACTTGAATGTTCCGCTCTCAGGTCTGCCTTTATGTGCCTGTGTGTCGATATATGCTTTTCTCTGTTTGTGTTTGTGTTTGTGTGTGGTTACACTGAAGTTGTCTTCTGTCCCCACAGGGTGTAGTAGTATGTCAGGTGAAGCTGTCCAATGGGTTGATGGTTCATGGTCCACAGTGCCAATCGGAAAATGATGCCAAGGAGAAAGCTGCCTTCTTTGCCCTCCAAAGACTGGTACAACACACACACACACACACACCTCTTGAACAAAGTAGTGTTTAAATGTGTGGGAGTGAGTATGAGAATGTCTGCTTGTGATGGTTAGTGGGGTGTGGAAGCCATCTTATTTTAGTCTGAAGAAATCAGAAATGATGCAGGGGGACACAAGAGATGGGGCTTTCTCAATAGTCACTCTTAAATCAGAGCTGTCACCTAGGATTGATGATATGGGCCTATTATAAATCGATCACAAGTACAATATCTTTGTAACAAAGTATCCTCTAAAAATAGTTTTTCCTCCAGTCCCTGACTTTGTGGCCGCTCAGACCACTACCATAGTTGCATTACAACAACGCTTCAGGATCCAGGAAGTCCAGATCCATGAGTTTGAGGGTTTTCAAAATACCTCACAGTGGTTTTAATACTCACAGGACAAAGGATTTTACAACTCTGGTTAAAACCCAGCGTTCTTCAGTCAAAGCAGCACAGATATTTTCATATTTTTGTGATTAACTTCTCTCTTATCTCTGCTGTAAGGCCATTTTCTCTTTGAGAAAGAAATATAATTCAGTCTGGAAATGATAGGGACTCGAAAAGGTGTGGTACAAAGTTTTCACTGAATACCAGTTTATACTGCAAAATATAACAGTTCCAGACAGAAAGAAATGTTACCAGTTGAAGAGGTAGACAAACACAATTAGCACCTGCTAAAACATAGTTTCTCTGTCTGTGTCCCCTTGCTTCTCTGTAGAACTCAGTGGGGTCGAGCTTCTCCCTCCCACCTCCTTTATACCCAGGAGTGGGTCAGATACGACCCCCACCCATCAGAGGTATGACCCCTGTCTTCAACCAACAAGGTCAGTACATTTTGCAGGACTTTGGTAATGAGTTACTTTGTGGTAATTAGTTAATTTGTGCAGTGTTTCAATCAAAACCTTCTTTTTGTCTCACTTTTCTGTTCTCTGTACCTATTGTTATGCCTTTTTATTTTTTGTCTCAGATGTCATTTGAGACCTGACTTGTGAAAAAGATAAATTAATTAATTAGAATCTTTTATCAGCTGTTACCTCACATGTATGCTCTTTTTCTCCAGGTGGATTGATGTTACCTCCCCAGGGTTACGCCCCTCCCCCTCTGTGGGGAATGACGCTTTCCCCCCACCACCACCAAAACCAACCATTCTTCAGCGCACCGGGAACCTTTCCCGGTGCTGCCCGCCCACCGCCTTCAACAACACTGCCCATTGGCTCACACAACCAGTTTATCCCATTACAGGTGAACTTAAATGTTTGAACGTTGGCAGTCAGAATAGAAATACTTTGCTGTATTTCTTTTTAATTGCTTTGATGGTGTGTTTTTTTTTTTTTTTTTTTTTTTTTTTTGCTTTTGCTGTTTTTTATGCCGACATCACAATCATGGTAACCCAGTTTACCGTTTGTCCTCTGACCTTGGCAGGTGACTAAGAAGCGAGTCTCAGCCAACAAGAAGAACCAGGAAACTCGAGAGTTTTACAGCGCTGCCCACACTGTGTCCAGAAACCAATCACAGAAAGCCCAGAACCAACTCTCTGGCCAATCACAGGCCAGAGCCGTAAAGTCGAGCAGCCACACCAACACATTACCAACAGCAACCCCTCCTCTTCCAGCCCTGGTTTCGTAGACGGCGTTTCCACAACAACAGCTGGCCCGCACACGCCCCCTCGACAAAACCAGCCAGCAACAGGCCACACCCCCGGCTCCGCCTCCAAGAGGAAGCACAGAAAGCTGGCTGTCAACTTCGAGGCGGCTAAAGTCTCTGAGTGATGAGCTGCTGTGTGTGTGTGTGTGTGTGTGTGTGTGTGTGTGTGTGTGTGTGTGTGTGTGTGTGACAGAGAGGGGTGTTAGAGTCGTACTTTGTTTAAGCTGCTGTTTTAAGCCTGACTCAGCATCTCTGATCAAACCCCTCATCAACGTGAAAGTTTCTTTTCACTCAACGTTTCAGGGTTGAAGCAGCTTCAGCTGGGGCAAGGGAACTTTTTTTTGTTGTTTTGTCTAATGTTACGCATTAGGCAACTCAAAACACAACTCTATATCAGTCATCATCAATCACACGACAGAGTTCCACTGTCCCTACACCTCTTCGCTGTCAGTGTAACAAAGTCTGCCAAACCTGGCTGTTGTAGTACAGTCCCCTGGAGATGCTGCCTTCTTGCTCTTGTTTGTGGCCAGTGTGAGCCTACAGGTTTGCTGTACAGGTTGCGGCCATAGCTTCTTCTTTCTTTTTTCTTCCTTGTGTATTTCTTAGAAGAGGTTCATTTCGTGAATTCCTCTTCCTAACAGAATTGAGTCATGTCTTATTTCTTTGAATCATAATGTTGGCGCTCCAGTCCGCAAACTTAAAGGAAGTTTATTACAGCTTGCCTATTATTTTTGTAGCTCTGGCTGTTCATTCTGTCAGCTGTGTTAACTGGTTGCTGTGATCACGGAATTGGGGTAACATTGGTCCAGCGGGGCAACAGATACGAGCAGTTTGACGATCATATTAAAGAAATTCCACGTTAGTCAAATGTATCTGAAGGAGAAAACAAAATGATTACCCAAACTCTTTTATATACCTCCATCCACAACCTTTTTGCTGTAGTGAGTGAGGGATTATGAGCGAAATATCAGAAGCGGTAGCCGGTCTGGTGGAACTGAGTTTGTGCACGGCCTGACTGCTTGTGTTTGTTGCCTCCTTTGAACTATTTTCTGTGATGTTGCTGTGTTCCATGATCTTATCAGATACTTGATTACAAAGTTATCATAGCTGACAGAACCACTGGCCCGATCAACAAAAATCAAACCCACGTTGTAATGCAGTTTTCCTTCAACTGCGTGAGCAGCGAACTAAGTACAAATTGGGAAAAACAATCTTCTGACAAAATGTTCTTACAAAAACATAATTCTATCCTTTGGTTCACATGTTCAATGAGCTTGGTCCTAGCAGTGAAGAAGGTCTGGGGAAGTGAAACACTGCCATTAAAATATGCATTTTGAGGGAAAATCTATGTGGAAGAAAAATAAATGGATACAGTAGCTACATACTAGTGCCACCAAATCAAATAGTAGCTGAGCGGAAAACACAAAGACGTTTTTACAAAATTTTCTGTTTGGGCATTAATGAAGCATGTAATAATAATTAGTAATGTGTGTTATTTCTCCCTGCCCCCCCTGTCAGTCTTAGCACCGTCCATCTATACTTCTTTAAAAATGTTGCTTTGTATGTTTACAGCCCAGAGGCAGGAGAGTTTTCACTGACATTAGCTTCTGCTGTTGCCTTCGCTTTGGGAAGCACAGGAGGGCTCACGGCAACGTAGACTGAGAAAATACCGGAGGGTGGATGTGCTTAACGTTTTGGAAAACCTCCTCAGTTACATTTGGATCTTGGTTCTCCGAGACATGCATCCATGGTAGAAGCCCTCCTCATAGTCTAGCCTCAGATTTGCACTGCAGTGGCAGTTACTCCCTGCTTTTCCTAGTAAACGTAACACTAAGTCATTTACATACATCTTTAGAAAGCTAGTTTGAATTCATATGATGCTGTGTTGTCCTTGCTTTGTTTTTTAGGGGGTTTTACTGTATTAATTATGCATAAAAACGGGCCTTCTATAATGACAAACTAATACAGCCGCGTCGTCAGGTTTGGATCAGTGGTGTTAATCAGGCCAACATTGATTATCTGTTTTAATGTTTTCCTGTGTGTTGTGGTCTTTAAATCCCATCAATATTTATAGCCTTTTTATTTCTTTCAGACGTTTGATGCCTTGCTGCATTTTTATACTTTTTGTAGAGTTTAACAACACAGCCAAAGTAAAAAGTTGCCCCCAGCAACACACACACACACACACACACACACACACACACACACACACACACACACACACACACACACACACACACACACACACCGACCGCACTTGATGATATTGCCAGTGCATGCAGAGCTGGTTCACACCAGCACAGAACCCAGAATCAAATAGTGTTCAAATGACCAGATTTGTCAATTTTTATTTTTGTAAACTGGAACTTGTGAAAATGTCCATTTTAATTTGATTGATGCAGTCAAATACTAATCAGTCATATTTGTTGAGTTCTGTTGGACCTTACAGGTTACCCTTACACTGCCAGATTCCAAAAGCAACTTGATTTTTAATTGAACAGTGCCAGTAGATTGTGGTTGATTTTTACACGGGTGCAAAAAAAATATAGCTTTTTTTCATTTCTATTTTTTTTTGCTTTAAAAAAAAAAAAAAAAAACTATTAAGATTAGACTTTTTTTTTCTCCTTATGAATATGGTCACTCACACAGTTTATAATACTATGCACTTTTGACATCTTAAATTGAAATACAAACCAATCAATTAGGACTTTATTTAGAAAAGAGTTCTGACACATGACTGATGTCACATACAGTATAGTTTCTGTTTGTCCGAAGTTTTCATTTCTATGTGAAATGTGGTGTTAACAGTACTCTTCAGGGGTGCACAGCTGATAATTATGAGCTTCCTTTGCAACTTAATCATTATCATCAGTTATCTGAAGTGCAAATATCATTAACGTACAGAGGTGACATACGTACATAACGGTTGAAAATAGGCTATTTTTGTATCTGTGTAAATGCAACCCTAACAGCATAGTAACTGTGTTGTATGGTGAGTACTCATATATTTAAAACACTATATTTACGTTATGTGCCCACTAAATTGAGTCTCTCTTACATGCTTATGAGGAGGTTCTTCCAATTTTCTGTTGGTGGATTTCTCAAGCTGTTTGGCTATTTTAAGTTCGCTTTATTGTACTACTCTATACACATCTGGAATTAACTCACACAAGAACACATACAGATGTCTCCATTTTAAGGAACTTTTTTTTTTTTTTCTTTTTCAAGCCATGGATTTTATGGAAACCCTTTTTATATAGACTTTGTCTTGGGGTCATTTCTAAGCAATCTGAATAATGATTGTTTCAATAATGTTTGTTGTGGAGCTCCATTGATGGAAGCAGCTGTAGCGACTAGTAAAGTGTATTTGTTTTGAGGGAGACATGCATACAGTGTTTGTTGTTTTAAGGCTCATATCCTTATGCCGGCCTCGGGACTCAAGTCTGTAAGGCTCTGGTGCAATAAGGGGAGGTTTCTGGACATTTAAGCACACCTGTTGTGTATCCGTTTGGTTTTTGGATATGAAACGAAGTAGAGAATTCTCGATAATAAGACATAATGACTTGCTGTTTTGATTCAGGAATGTGCTGTACATATCAATTTAATTAAAGTGCATCTTTTGTTACAACATGGTTGTTTCTTTTGGCCATCAGAAACTGTATTTGGTGCCAGGTTTTCATTGATTTTGACTGTTGCTAAATTCATAGACGCGCACAAAAAAATCGAATTTCATTCTAAGATTTTGTAGAGCAGAAAACTGCAGAAACATAAGTGGGGTCTTCATATATGTCATATTTCAACATGTGTCCTTTTTATACCACAAATTAAAAACAAAACTTGGGAATAAAATGTCTAGGTTTGAATGGACATACTTTAAAGGACACTGAAGGAGTCACCACATTAAAAAAAAACACAAAATAAGACATTTATTCAGTGAGCGTCAGTCAGTACAGTTTGTTTTTTTTGTTTTTTTTCAGAAGCTCAGGTTTTGTTTGAACAGTAACATCATGATCACACATCAGGAAAACTAAAATCAAAACATTTCAACCAGGCCTATGTCGTGTTTACAGGCAGAACACTGGAACTACATCTCAATTAACGCTTGGTGAGAGCAAATCATTTAGTGTGCATCATACAAAATCTACCTCTACAAAGTAGTGAGTAAAAAAAAAACAAAAAAACATTTGGACAACACATATATATATATACATGTTCCAACTTCATCAAATTCTGAAACTGAACTTGCTAGATTTTCACATACATCCTGCTGTATAAATTAATGAAAATCACATATTGATTAAAACTAAACTAAAGCACTGATGTTGGTGTTGAGGCTAGTTCAAATCGCTTTGTTGCAAGCAACAGGTCTGAAGTTCAACAGAAAACAGGGGGAATAAATGCTCATTTGGACTTAAATTTGTAAAGACAATCCATATTCAATATTGGATTATGGGATGCCAGTTAGTAATGCATTAAACTGAGAAACAAAATGCAACACAATGTAAACAAAGCTAGTGAGCCAACAGCTTTTCAGTGGGGAGTGCAACACTCCAATTACAAATGAACATTACATTTGTAGCCTAAGCAAGTGAAGCCTCTTTATAAACACGCCTTGGTTCATTTAATTTATCTTGCACGACTAATGTCATTTTGTTTCATATCTGTCGATTAAACAATGAGAGAGCAAATCTTAGTGGTAAAATGTTTTTGGTAAAAATCCAGCCAGTTTTTTTTTTTTTATTTTGGAGGGGGGCGTTTCAGTGGCCTGAAAAAAAAAATAATGCTGGAAACAGAAGTGACGCTGTGATAGATTGACTTTGAGGAAGTAATTTACATACAGTTTGTTTCCATCTTAGAAATGTTTGACATTAGAGTGTAAGACTCAAATTAAAAGGTCTGACAAAAGAAATATCTGTTGTCAACAAATCAGACCAAACAACCATGAACTGATCTGTCCGTCTGTGCGTGCGTGTGTGCGTAATATGCCATAGAGCTCCATTGTCGTCTCACAACTTTTAAAACGCATCGGTGAAGCCACATTGCTCCACTGGGTGACATGTTCCTTCATCACCATGAACACACACATGTTTATTTTAACTCAGTCCCACACACCTTCCTGCTTCCCAAAATACTCACTAGAGCACCAAATGTGGATTAATCCACAGCTGAAAATAGTCTCCCAATAAATTTGGTAAAGACTTCAGTTACCCGCTGTTTTACGAAATGACTGCACCTTTTCAAAAAAGAAAGAGTATATTTGTGACCTGTTTTTAAAGATTTACATCTTCATAAGAAACCGAAGGTCTTGTGACTGAGAGCCACAGACAGGGTGTGTAATACATTAGTTGTCTTCGTTCTTTCCACGGGGCTTTTTGAGAAGGTTGCCAGCCTTATCTCCAGTGTATTTTTAGCCTGTCTTCAAAAACAACTAGCTTTGATATGCAAGACTTAAGTCTAAACTACAACACTATCATGTTTAGAAATGAGGTTTAAAATCTGTAAATAGACCATGTTTACCCAAAATTCAGTAATGCACCTATGTACTGTTATAGACAGCCAATAGTTTTCATCCCATTAGCAATATGAAAATCATTTGGCAGATTTATTTAAGGTGTTTAATCCATCAAGGTGAACATCAAGTCGACCTAACATGCTAGTGTTGTGAGGTAATGCACACTTCTAAAACCAATCTACACCTGAACCGCATCATCAAATAATAGAAACATGACACTGAAAAAGAATTATAACGCAGAATTGATGTTCACAGTGTTGGACCACACAACTAAAACAAGATTTAAGTTGTCTGGTAGTTCATTTTCATACTGTAGGGAAATAGACGGGAACCAATGGCTGCATAAACCTCTGAGAAAAATACTCCAAAAAATCTAAACCTATGAAAACGCATTTGAAAATGTAAAGTATAAAGGATTTTTAGTTAAGAAGATAAAACACTGTTATGGTCTGTTAAGGTATTCAGTTCTACTGATATCTTTCACTTCAGCAACACACACTGTATCACAGTGTCCTGTGTGATGACATGCTATGCTGTTACAGGTTCATAGTGAATATAAATACTTTTAATCTAGACTGGGACGGACGTGTGAAGTGTCGGATTACATATTTGGCACTAAAGATGAAACTAAACAAAGTGAAACTTTGCTTGTGTGTAGGCGCCTGCTTCTACATGTTAACGTGTATTTTTTCTGTATGTATGAACACACAAGTGCCTGTTGTCTGTGTACTTTAATGTAATTTTTACGCAATGATATGTCAACATAACGTGTGTATGTGCCTGTATGTGTTTCCCATTCAAATTACAATGTATGTGCACTGTCACATTTTCTACTCTGCACGTTAAGCATGCCTGCATGTGTGTCTGTGTGAGCGTGTGCTTCCTCCGTCTTGTCTCTTCAGGTCCTCTTTTGATGTGTGTTCCCCACGTATGTGTTCTCTATACACAGCACTATGTAGTGGTTGGAGCAGGAGCGGGTGTGTTGTCCTAACAGTCGTCCTGTCTGCAGCAGCGCAGCCTGGCCCGTCACCGCCATGTCAGCCGTCCTCCACGCCTCGCAGTAGTTAGTGGTCAGACGGATGCCCACAGCACTGGAGCCGTGCCAGACCAACTTCTCTGGCCTGAGGGAAGAGGGAGAGAGACGTGGTGAGTGGAGGTTACATGGTTAACTTTCAGTCAAGAGGGGGAAGAAAGGATGAGAAGAGATTGAAAGAAGGAAACAAAAGATAAAAAGAGACACATTTCAAGTCAAGTGCAAGTGATGAAGTCCAGAATGTGAAGTGTGGAGCCGTGTTGTTCCTGCTTCCCCAGTGATTAAGACGGTGCTGCAAACTAAGAAGAGCCTTTCTCTGCACACATTCTGGTCTCCTCCCACAGTCCAAGGACATGCAGGTTAGGTAACTGCAAACTCTTTAAATGCCCATAAGTCTTTAGAGTTCTGCAAAGGACTAAACATGACAGCAGAACCTGGTGCATGATTTTTTTTTCTTTATGCCACACATTACTGACTGTTAGCTTGGCAGGCAAATGTAGCACATTACCAACACTGTCTATTTCCTCCCTCCTCTTCACTTGGTCACGTGTACCTACTTACATGGAGGTACACGATTGGGACAGTCAGAGAGAAACATTTTACAAATTTGAAAAAAAAAAAAAGATGATTAAAAACTTTGAATTACTAATTAGAACACAGGCTAGAATTGCATTAATCAATCAAATTGCTAATTTGAAAATGACAAACCCCCAACCTGAGAGGTTGAGCAGCAGAAACTTAATGAGTGTTAAATTCAAAAGTCTTTTCAGACCTGTAACAGACCAAATGTCACCAAATGCATGCTGGGATGGACTTTGGCCCCTGCAACCCTGACCAGGAAAAGGTGAAGACCATATGCACGTACTGGCATTAAAGCTTTATATCACCTACAGTCTTGCTGCTGCCTGTTACGTCGTATTTAGTAGTTTTTTCACATTGATCACTATGGCAGGTATATGGCATTTACTACTGGCCATTTCAGTGACAGTTGGTGTCCATGTGTCTCATAAAATTATCAATTTGGATGATCGGCTTTCTCACAGACACTCTCACTCACCATGCTGGGTCAGTCATCACGTTGCGTCCATCAAAGGAGTAGATGGGAGTGGATGGGTTAAATATGCCTCCATTCCCAGAGAAGATGGACATCCAACTATTGAACAACACTTCACCCTGAGAGGAGAGATGAATAAAACTAAACTTTATTCTCAAAAGAAGATGTCAGCATATCATCTATTATGATTTCTTAGTGTAACTTTAAAATGTATAGGAACACAGTGGGTGACAGTGTTTAACCCCAAATGAAAAATGAAAAATCTACCAAAAGGTCAGAAATAATGTAAGAAGAAAATAAGAAATAAGAAAACAGCTAACACAACAGCATCAAATATTCATTTCTTCTCACCCTGAGATTAACCACAGGCATGTTAATGCGGTCTGCCTTCCTCACGATAGTCGCCAGGTCCTGGAGGTGTGAGGACAGGAAGGCCCTGTAGGTGGCTGTCAGCCCCATTGAGCGTGCCTGCTGGTAGCACTGGAAGTCTGCCCCGCGGATGCCACGCATATCCCCTTTCAGCGGTGTGTTCAGTGCTACCAGATGGAGCTAGGATAAGAGAAAACCACAGGATGATGTTAAAATATACTTGGTCCTAATTATTTATCACAGATCTGGCATCGGTCAGAGTCAGGCTGGTGTGGAGTAATTTTACGTACCTGGATCTGGTAAAGAGTTTATGTACAGTATACTGTTAGGCCCTCTATTCTGGCTTTGTGGGAGCTGCTGTGTTTTCTCTCTCCTTTTCCTGTTGTGTGGGTGTGTTTGTGCTTTGATCAACTCTGTTTCATATACCTGGTTCCTGATTTACCTCATCGCCAGATCCTAGACTATGTGTCACAGTCAAACACGCTCCAGTTACTACATTGTTACTTATCCGTTAGCAACCTTCTTTAATCACTGTCTCCTGTATCACATAATATCACCGTCTGGACCTGACCCCTGCCTCTGTTCCACTCCTGCCTATGTGGACTCTGGATCTCTACCTGCGGATAACTAGACGCCTAGTCAGCCTGGAATCTCCACCCCAGAATATATACTAGCCATAACAGTATACATGTATGTATGTATGCGTCAGTAGGTCTGTGTAAGGGTGTATGCGTTTGTTACACTCACCCCAGGTACAGCGTTGAAGATCTGTGGTAGTATGTTATAGCTGGGCTGATATCCTCTACTGCCCTCTTGAAGCTCCTGTCCAACAAGAATTTGTATTAGTAAGTTGTTGTTGTTTTGTGTTTTTTAAGATTTCTAAATAATGTAAGGTGTTTCCAAATTATTTATATATATATATATATATATATATATATATATATATAAATACAGTTTACACAGTCACATTGTGGGGACTCGCCAAAATGCAAGTTACACCCAGTAATGTAATGTATGTAAATCTTTTAAGGTTATGGTCAGGCTAGGTTTAGGTTAAATTGAGGTTAAAAAAGTGGCGCTCTACATCCTGAGGGTGTAGCTTGTGGTGCCCAGCCGGTGGGGACTCCGCACACCGCTACCGGCAATATTTCTCTGTGCAACAAACTGGACGAACTTCAGCTTCTGGTGGGGGAAAACAGAGACTTTTATTCATCTTCTGTTCTGTGCTTCACAGAGAGGTCAAAAAAATGGACCAGTGAAGCTGTAGAGGATCTTCAGGCATGCTTGGACTGCACTGAGTGGGATGTTTTCAGGACTGCTACCAACAATCTGGATGAGTTTACAGAGGCTGTGACGTCCTACATCAGCTTCTGTGAGGACACCTGTATACCAACACGCACCAGGGTGAGTTATAACAATGACAGACCCTGGTTCACAGCTAAGTTCAGACAGCTGAGGTTGGAAAAGCAAAAGGCGTTTAGGAGTGGGGACCGAGCCAGGTTTAAGGAGTCAAAGTACAGGTTTAGCAAGGCGGTGCGAGATGCTAAACAGCTGGACTCTGTCTCCCAATCCAACCTGAAGCACTGTGCGGATCAGCTGTCTCCGGTGTTTACAGAAATTTTTTGCCATGTGCCAGCCTGCTTCAAAGCCTCCACCATCATCCCTGTCCCCAAAATACCAAGGACCACGGGGACTAAATGACTACAGGCCCGTCACCCTGACCTCTGTGGTAATGAAGTCTTTTGAACGCCTTGTGTTGTCCCACCTAAAATCCATTACAGAACCACTCCTGGACCCCCTGCAGTTCGCCTACAGAGCCAACAGGTCTGTAGATGATGCAGTAAACATGGCCCTTCACTACATCCTTCAGCACCTGGACTCCCCAGGAACCTACGCCAGGATCCTGTTTGTGGATTTCAGCTCTGCTCTCCCAGCTGAATGTGCCTGACTCCACCTGCAGGTGGATCACAGACTTCCTGATGGACAACAAGCAGCACGTGAAGCTGGGACAAAAATTTGTCTCTGATTCCAGGACCATCAGCACCGGATCCCCTGAAGGCTGCGTTCTTTCCCCTCTGCTCTTCTCCCTGTACACCAACAGCTGCACCTGCAGTCACCAGTCCGTCAAACTCCTTAAGTTTGCGGACGACACCACCCTCATTGGGCTCATCTCCGGTGGGGATGAGTCCGCCTACAGGTGGGAAATTGACCATCTGGTGACCTGGTGTGGCCAGAACAGTCTCTGAAGACTGTGGAGATGGTCGTGGACTTCAGAAAGAGCCCAGCCCCACCCTCCCCCATCACCACTGTGGACTCCTTCCGCAGATTGTAGCTGACACCAATCATCCCGGTCACAAACTGTTTCAGACTCTCCCCGTGTGTGTGTGTGTGTGTGTGTGTGTGTGTGTGTGTGTGTGTGTGTGTGTGTGTGTGTGTGTGTGTGTGTGTGTGTGTGTGTGTGTGTGTGTGTGTGTGTGTGTGTGTGTGTGTGTGAGAGAACCTGGCTGTGGCTCCTGTGTGGTTTGCTCCATTCTCCAGGTCTGCTGAGGGCCTGAGACGCTGCAGAGGTGGAAGGTCCATCCTGGATCGTCTCTCCAAGCTGAAAGGACACACACATACAGAAACTGTTTAAAAGCTCAAATCCTATTTTATTAGGGTGAAAGGCACCTTAGATGATTGGAGACAATCTTAGTTACTGTACTGTAGGAATAGCTCTTTGTATTCAGAGCTTGTAAAGCTTGTGACGGGTGACAGGTGTATTTTATCCTCAATATAAGACATATGATCAGACAGTCCACACATTGACCAAACAAACAAACAACAACATGTGCAAACATGAAATACACACCTGGATTTTGCGCCAGCCATTGTTTACTCTGAAGTACAGCTCTCCTCCCCTCTCAGACACGTAGGCAAAGGTTCCTTCTGCAGCTCGCTGAGTCTCTCTGCTCAGAGCATTGATTGTCTTATAGATGGTCACCTGAATGTAAGCAACATCACAGCATCATACTAGCATTATTTACTAGTAAGAGTATTTTTTTCAATATCTTTCCACTACAGATACATTTGCTCTGGGCAACCCTGTACGCAGGATAAGCGGTTGACGATGATGGATGGTTGGATGGATTTCTTATAACAAGTGTCAGTATTAATCATGGTAAAATAAATTAAAAGACAATGTACTCGATTCACAAAAATTAAGTGAGAGCACTGGAACTTAATAAAGGTAAGTATATACTGTATATTTCATGTAGCGTACAAGACAGCCATAGACAAGTGAAACTACAGCAGATCAGGGGCAGGTATCTTACCGGGTTGGCATATCCTGGAGAACCTGGTGGGCCGGGAGGACCAGGAGGGCCGGGGACAGCTGATGATGATGCATCAGAAATACAATTCACCCACATGCGAATACTTAAGGACTATAACTTCTGGTCTAAAACACAAACGGATGTAGACGTACCCGGTTTATATGCAGGTACAGGTCCTGGGGCTCCAGCAGGGCCAGGAGGCCCACGGGGACCAGGTCGTCCGATCCCAGGGGCTCCAGGCTGGCCTACAGGACCAACAGGTCCTGGGGGACCCACAATGGACTCACCTTTTGGACCCTACAAGAAGTTATCTTTTAATTCCTCACTGCATTTTCAAAGTAATGTGTCATTTGATCTGAACATTTTCACCCTCTGGAAAATGCAACCTCAACAGAATATCCAACAGCAGTAAACTCTCAACATAAGGGAGCTGCAGTGATCAGCAGCATTAATCACAATTACTCATTCCAACAGTTACTAACTAATTTGAATAGTATTTTTGTAAATATTAGAACTCACCACGAGTCCTGACCTCCCAGGCAGTCCTGGAGGACCAGGCAGACCAGAGTCACCCTTCTCTCCCTTCTGCCCTTGGTATCCCTGATCACCTCTAGCACCCTGAGAGATCCAGAGACAATGGTGGAGAAGATCAACGCCTTTTAAAGACAAGTTCATTAGTATAGAAAAGCTTATTTCATTTTCAATATTGAGACCAGTCTTGGATTTGTTTTTTCTATGAAACTACTTTTTGGATTATAAAATCCCAGTTAGCGAGAGGGAACAACAATTAAACTATTATGATTAAATTCTAAATTAAATTAATATGAACTCTCTTTTAGCTCTGTTTTGGTCACCACCAGCTCCTGAGGGAAATATCTGGCTCTTTAGCTGCTAAATGCTCCACTATGTTCACCAGCTAGTCGCTAACTTTGTCTGTCTGTCGTTTGCCACGGGGCAGGTAGCGCTCATGTATCTGAAAGAAGCTGCCTGCTGCTGGAGATGAAGTTGATGAGAGCAGTGCGAGGGAACCGAAACAGCAAAGCTGAGGGCCATAAAACCAAACCGAGTTGAAAGACACTGAAACGCTGAGTGAGGTAATAATCACCTGTGGGGGTGTCACTGCTAGCGTCCCCCCTTCACACAACACATATAAAACATATAAAACATTTATCAGTGCTCCTTTAACATGACATGAATCCTCACGCCGGGATAATATGTTGATAAAAAATGAGCAAGGCCTTTTATTAAGCCTTGTATGAAATGATAAATCAGTACTCACCACGATTCCATCTGGAAATCCAGGTGCTGAGAAGATAAAATGAGGCGATATAAATGCTACAAGTTCCTGCAGTCATTTAGCATTTAAAAAACGATTTTTTAAGCAAATCAGTTTAAAAAGTAATCGGGACCCAGGATGTGTCTGTGTCAAAGTCTTACCAGGTGTGCCTGGCTCTCCAGGTATTCCCTCGTCTCCTTTGTCTCCTTTAACTCCAACTGAATCTCGCCCTGTCACTGACTCCTACACACACACACATATTAACATGACATGGACACCAGCACATTTGTGACAACAGGCACAAAAAGTCAACACAAATGTACAGACTCCTGACTGCATAGAATTAATAATTTTTTTAGGCATCTGTAGAAGAACTTGTTAAAAATGGGGTTATGATAAAAAAAAAAAAGACAGATGTCAATAGTTAGACCATGGCTGTCAGCACAGCAAAAAAACACCTGTTAAATACAAGGGATGCACGACAGCAGCTTGTACAACCCTCGTTTTGCTGTGGAGGTTAAAATACAAAAGGGTTAAAACAGGCTGTTCCAAATGTTCTTACTAAACAGACGTTCACAAATGAGAGTGAATTTAAACTATTTTTTTCATGGGGGAATGTGTTTTACAGTAAATTAAGTCTATGACTTTCTGTAGGCTCCTGTCTTCACAGTAATAACTGTCTATAGAATCATACAGCTCAAAAGAAAAATGGCCTTCCAATCAAATAATCATAAGAGAAAGACCAGATAGCCCTCCACACTCTTGTCATCAGCATGACGTTTGACTATAGTCAAATCACTTTCGACTATCAGCTTGAGATGATTTGTACATATCACAAAAGATTCACTATCACCACTATCACTACCCCTCCCATTTTTTAGGGCCTTGGCAAAATTTGTATGAAACTGTAACAAAGTCACTAAAATGTGTCCCTAATTAGATTATTAATACAAAATCCTAATAATACAATATTGATCAATTTACTGTAAACTCTGGGAACACTTTCCCTTTTTACCTAGGAATTCTGGCAGTGGTGGGAAGTGAGAGTGCAGTAGTTAAATATGTGGTTGCTCACATATTTATGTTAGTTTCTTTGAAAAATTCAACAATTAACCAGGCAATAAAAGTCATAATAAGATTCAAAATGTATCTTTAAAATGTATAAATCAGCCATATGATACAAGCTTTTTCAGCTTTAAAAAAAAACAAACTAGGCGGGACCACAAGATTCAGACTCCTAATTACACTCATCAGTCAGGGGAAAGTTTAGACATTTATTTTCATACATTCATGGAGGATCCCTTCACCACACCTAAAGCATAAAAAGGTAAATTTTAAGAAAAAGGAGCCAAATTTCAATCAGAATACCAGAACCTTTAGGGTCCAATCTTCATAAAATTCTATATTTCCATTAAATTTCACATTCATTTAGGAATCAGCTGTCACAATTTGATCTATATGTAACTTGCTACTACTAGAATGTGTGTGTAATCCCTCATGGAGCCATCCACCAGCATCACCAGAGCCCACAGATGACACTTGAAACAGAAGCCCAGCACCATGAGAGTAGACTGTACATTTCATTTTATCTACAGTGGTGGAAGAAGTATTCAGATCTTTTACTTAAGTGAAAGTAGCAATACTACAGTGTAAAATTAATCTGTTAGGAGTAGAAGTCTAGCATTCAGAATTGTATTTAATTAAAAGTTCAAAAACTTTAGCATTAAAATTTACTTAAAGTACCAAATGTAAATGAACTCATTATACAAAATGGCCCAATTCAGAATAATGTATATTATATTATTGGATTATAATTATTATTATATTATTATAATTATTCATAGAATAATGTGCATAAAGGTGGGGATAATTTTAATTACTTTTTAATACTACTGTGTAACTTAATCTATAATAATATGTCAGATTTTATTTGTTTATTTTAATATTTTGGATTAATAATCTGAAAAGTAACTTCATAAAGTAAACGTGGAAAAAATAGTTCAGTATTTCCCTCTGAATTGTAGTGGTGTAAAAGTATAATTTACTCAAGTAGAGTACAAATATCTCAAAACTGCGCTTGAGTAAATGTACTTTCCAGCACTGTTTATCTAGCTGATGAAAGGCAGGACAGAGTTTGATATATCTCACTTTAAATACAATCAATTAAGGAAGGAGCTTCAGCAATATAGCTTCCTTTTTTTAATTGATTGAACTGAAAAGTGATTTGGCACCAACTCTGATGTACATAAAGTATAAGGATGAGTATCAACAATGATTCTTTAAACTCCTCGCCGTCAAAGGTTCACCCAGCTTCCGTTTCCCTGAGATGACGAGGACGTTAAGAACAGACAAGGCAAGCGACACACTTTAAACAACCGGCATTAACATTCGTCCTGGGTGCTCAGGTTGGATTTTGCAAACACACACACTAAACAATGATTTCAATGAACCCAAGATGCACTGAAGATCGGACCAGCCACATCACATTTACAGGTGGCTAATGCGTCCTTAATCTATATCTAACATCTACTTACAACACATTTTGCGTATAGATCAATTTACAGGTATGTGTCAGGTGGGTAATAAGGAATACATGTCTAGATACAACCTGTACACAAGAGGAATGTTAATGTCTGATAAAATGAGACCAGACCCACAGATCAGAGCCAAGAGGGAGGAGAGGAGTAAATGAAGGGCGATAACAGACGGGGGAGATGGGTTACTGTTTGTAGCCCAGACCAGAGAGCTGCCATGCTGCTACACCCACACACCAACAGAACCACCGGATGGTCCAATTTCAAACTGAAACAGACCAGTCAGATGGTCCGACTCAGACTTACTCGTCCCTTTTTGCAGTGCGGTCTGGGGCGCACCGGAAACACTGTCTTTAAAATTCAAAGAAGTGAAGAAGTAGCGTAATCAGTCTAAATTATTCCAACTATTATCTGGAATGAGGCAGGTCAAACACTGAACTGTAGATGATCTTTACAGACACACACACACACAAAAAAACACACTCACAAACTGGCTTCCAAATATACTGGTGCTCCACAGACTGATACAGATCTATAAACATGTTTGTATGTGATTCATGTAATTGATATCGATAGCTTTTAGAAACATTTGACAATCCGTGTGAAAACTTCTAGTACACATTGGCACTACTAAATACTGTATGTATAACTGATGTTCATTGATGGTCTATGAAAGCCAAATCTGTTATAATAATGCAGACTGTCAATAAAAATACTGGATTCTGGATTTCTGCCATTAAAATGCATTTTGCATTTATAGACTTGACTTAAGCTATGCCCAACATACGTCTCTGAAACAAGCCTTTTAAGTAATCCACTGTAAAGTGTTGACTGTTTATCATCATCATCATCATCATCCCTGTCCAACAACCTGAAAATGGCAAATAAGGGAACTTAAAAGGCGTCCCCAGGCAGAAACTTACTCCGTTCAGCCCAAGAATTCTTCCTGGAAGTCCAGGTGGACCTGGAGGACCTGGAGGTCCCTGGGGGAGAGAGAGTAATACAGAGAAAAAGAATATTATCACATTAGTGTCAGTGGCCCAGTTTCAAAGTGAAGTAAAAACTAATTTAAGGGACAATAATGTAATCTAAAGGGTTACCCCACCACCAAAATTCATAACGCAAATACTCACAGCCTGCTTTCAAAGATGTGTTTATATCATTAATGCTTGTAAAAACTTTTGTCTTATGTATAGGAATGGTTAAAATACATTTGTCATGGTCCTGCCGTGCGTCTTCCTCATTCCTGGTGTTTTCAGCTGTTCTTCGCGTTTCTTGTTGGTCTGACCCTGTTGTTCCCTGTGCCTCAGGTTCATTCCTTGCTGGAGACCTTAGCTTATGCCTGTTTTATCTCATCTGTTTCCTAGCCAAGCTCACTCTGCCTGCCTTGCTCCACCATTGAAACTACAATCAAGATTTCCAACTTGCATCTCTGACACTGAGATTAAATCTATATTTGAACCTTTGCCATAATCCCTTGTATGTGTTCTGCTTTTTGGTCTATAGGATTGCAAAACCTAACAACATTATTGTTTAGGGCTTTAACAACAAGAAAATCCCAGATCTTTCCTTTTCCTCTTACCGGTTGGCCAACAGAGTCTCCTTTGTCACCTTTCTTCCCGGGCATACCAGGCCGTCCCTGCAGTAAGAGAAAGAATGACACACATCAGACAAAAAGGCCTTGTGCACAGTGTGAACTGCAAAGCATGATATGCTGACGTCCTCTAGCTTTGAATACTTCCTTTAGTTGCTTTGTATAACAATTCCACACCTGGAGACGGATTGATGATGTTTATATTGATTACTTATAAAAATGTAAATAATTAGACAAACTGGTGTGTTCTCTTTCAGCTCTTGTCCTAACAAAACTTCTCATGAGCCAGGCGAAGCATCGAGCGACACATTGGTGCTCTTGCCCGTGTTTAGGAAAAAAAAAGTTAATAAAAATCCTTGATCATAAGCTTGATTAATGCATGATATGATCAACACTGTAAGTGTTGCATGCTCAAATAGTAATCTAGATTAAAAGGCAGGATAAACCCGACAAAAAACCCGACAACTTTACTTTGTAAAGTCTGGGCTGTGCCGTCTCATAGACGTGGCTCTCATCAAATAACATTAACCCTGTCCAGCTGCCTCTCCACATCCTGTCATACCTGAAAAATAATTTCCACCAGTTAATGCGATAACTTTAAATAGTTAATAGATAGATAGATGAATAGTTAATTTGTTTGCTTCTGCGCTATTAGTAAAGAACTTATTTTTTGCTTTCCATTTAAAGCATAGAATGGCTGGCTAGGCGAGTGTGTGTGTTGATTTCCTGCAGCATCTTCCTGGTCTTTGTGAATGCCCCCCATTTTTACAGTCAGTTCTCTGGACATTTCTAGGAAGAAGGAAAGTTTTCATCCTTTCCCCTTCACTCCTGTCTTTGCTCTGACTGCTTCTAGCACTTTCTTTCTCGCTGAGTAGCGCAGAAATCGGATCAGCACCAGTCCGGGAGGCTGGTCCTTGTCAATTGGAACCTCGCTCATATGATCATTTACTCAGACATGTTCACGTGTGCTTGTGTCTACCATTAAATGCATTTTTGGTTTTTGAGAGATCTAGATTTGAGAATCAAACATAGGTAATGAGTCTCCCCGCTGAGAAGTTATTTGAAATGAATGAGTTAATGATTAAAAATCAATAAAATTGAATGAATAAATACGATGTCACTTGGCACCAAGAAATTTATTTTAAAGAATATATCCAGGTCATGCATTTATCAGACTCTGTGCCTACAAAGAGGATGTTCATTTTCTGACATACACAACAAATACAAGCTACTCACTGAGCGACCAGGGAAGCCATATTCTCCTTTTTGTCCAGATGGCCCTATTGGGCCCTGAAATAAACAGAAAAACAGTGATGAACATGTCAATTATATGTCTTCACTAAACTCTTTTCCCCAGTATTTCATAACAATAAGAATAAAGAGATTTGTATATCGTGTCCACATGAACAAATGAGAGTTTATAAAAAATAATGATGATGATGATGATGATGATAAAACGTTTGTAGATATTAATGTTCTATTTAATCTGGACTCACCATAAGTCCGGCAGGTCCAGGGAACCCACGTTCACCCTATGTAATTACAAAGCAGTACATCAAAATGTGAGATGAGAATGCAATGAGGATGTGGCATGGGATTTATAATATTGGCAGTGATAAACATAACACACAGTATGAGTCAACTTGTTTTAAACTACTTCTGTCTCTACAATAATAGAGGGAATACCCCAGAGTTGATCCCAATTCAAGTCTCCAAAACGTTGCATTTGTTAGTCCTTAGGATCTAGAGTGAGACATATCTTGGGTGTTTTGGCCCTTGTGCCACCCTTGTTACTGTGTTACAATCAGCACATCATCACTAAATGCTGCTGCAATACCTAGAAATTTAGAAACAAGGTCCATTATGAGGACTAATAAAAGTAGTTGGTAGATATTTTTGACCTTGACTTCTGTATGGCAGGAGGGGTAACAGGAGTTTAATATTGTAATTTAGCTGTGGAATTGTATGAAATTACAATATAAACACTAACTAGCCTAGTTATTTTGTACTACTGATAAAATAATGACACCCAATCAAATTCTCCTCTTCCTTTTGTCTGCTAATATGTGTCTTTGACAGACACGCGTAGTGCACATTAATTGGAGCGTTGATATACTGCTGCTCAACTCTTTATTAAGGGGCCTAGCATGAAGGGGCTAGACCATGAAAATGACTGTGCAGGTGTTACTTTATTAGATGTATAGTCTTGCTGTCATTTGCCACAGTAGCATCAGGATTTTCTGGTACCTTGTTGCCTTTGGGCCCCTGAGGGCCTCTTGGCGCTGATAAGATGGATCCGTCAGCAGCAATGGTCACCCCCGGCTCTCCCTTCTCTCCCTGAAAGAAAGAGAAATGTTTATATTTTCTACATATACAGTCGGGCCTCTTTGTCTCATGCTACAACATTTTCAAAATGTATTTTGAGACATGATTTTTGTAATAATCCAAATTCTGTTTTGCAGCTCTGTTAAAATCTTGGGGCCAAAATCTCACCTTGAACCCTGCTGGCCCCTTGCTACCTGGAGGGCCTATATCTCCCTTTGGTCCCCTGGGGCCCTGCAGAGGGATGAAAGGATAGTGAGGCAGAGTTGGGAGGTTTAGCGAGCATTTTTAAAGGAATGCTTTGGAGCTTCGTAAATTCCACAGATTAAGTAACCTAAAGGAAAAAACACCAAAGAAATGGCAACACTTCAGGTACCTACCCTATTTAGCCCAAAGACAGCAAAATTGGAATAAAAATATAAATGTTACATTGCTTTTAATTAACTGTTGCTCTCTTTGTTCATAAACTGAAAAATGCCCATGCACTCAATTTTCAATCAGCAACTGATACAAATGCTCAGAATAAGGTAAATGCTCTTACAGGAAATCCAGCTCTGCCAGGCAAGCCTTCAGGGCCCTGCAACACGCAAATAAAACACACACATACATACGCACGCATGCATGCATGTGCAGACATTAACACAGATGTAAGCAAAAGCAGTAAGGCTGGGTTAATGATCTTTTAGCCAGAAATTACATTCTCATACACAGCACCATCAAACACACCTACATTCAAAGCACTACAAAAATGCAGTAATGATGCTAAAGTAAAGTATATCATAGAGTGATACAAGGGTTGAATTGCTATATTGTATGTAATATTACAGTTTATTGTAGGTCAAATGTATATGTTAGTAACAGCTGTATCTTTTTGCACTGTCACAGATGTGAGTAGTGGTAAGCTATGTGTCACCCTCCTTCTGTCCTTAATATTAGCTGTTAGCTGTAAAACATTTGCGGAAGGAGGCAGCTAACATCTTCGAAGACATTGTCACACAATAGCTTTGTGTTACGCACCATGGGCCCTGGTGGTCCTCTGATCTCTGTGAAGTTTAAGATACCATTTGTAACGTTGAGCAGCAGCTGTGGACAGAAAATGCAATGAGTAAGTTTGGGCACTGGCAGCATTTTTTACAGACTTGAAAATGCATTATATAGTATAAATGAAGTTCACTGATTAACTTAGGTACGGGAGCGGGGCCACGCCTCAACCACACCTCCAATCACCTGTCAAGGCTACATACACCGCTCCGCTCAGCCTGCCCCGCTTGTTTCAGATTGCTCAATGCAAGACGGACAACGATCCACGCTCAGCAGCACACGCTTAACAGCACGCTTGTTTCAGATCGCTCGACCCACCCTCTCTCTGCTTCAACTAAATTAAACTTTGTGTGTGTGTGCGTGTGTGTGTGTGCGTGCTTACATCCTGCAGACTACTGATAGATCCAGGAGGTCCAGGAGGCCCAGGTGGTCCTGGGATACTGCGTCCATCAACACCTCGATCACCCTTCAGAACACAAAACATAGAATTATTAGTCCTTTATTGATAAATCATGTAAATGAAGAGTAGACCATCTGGCTTGGAAGGCAGAGGAGACAGAAGCAAACAGGCTGAAGAAACCAGTTGTGCACAAAAAGTAAAAAAAATTATTCACGCTTTAAGTTCATGTAGAAATTGTTGGCAAAGTGTTGCTTAGTTACACTTCCAGCTGTTCCGATGATCTATTTTCAATGTCTGATCTAAATAGTTTTCTCTCCTGTATTTATGACTTACGCATTTGTGAAAACAGGTGATAAAAAAGGTTTTGGCAAATAATTTTTTTTTAAGTGAACGCCAATTAGAATACATTTCTAGCCAAAATAAACACATGTCAATAATGTTACATCACTTGCTTAACACACAATATATGTACCTGTTTAGAGAGCATGAAGAAATTAAAACTCGCCTGATGGACAACCAATAAGGTTTCAGAACAGTGATTCACAAACCAATGGGTGACGTCAAGGTGGCTACATCCACTTCTTTTATACAGTGTATGTTTAGGACATGGGGTAGTGGTCCTGACAAAAACAATTTACCTGCCAAGACTTTTTTTCTCCCCTCCTTTCACATATGAACAAATAAAGTAACTAAGAAAGTTTTTCCTTGCAAAACTTGTATTTTCACCTACCAATTACATTTTCCCACCTTTTTCACAAATGAAAACAAAGCCAAACAGCTAAACAGTGAGCTGAAACTCAGTAAAGCCAAGGGATTCTCTGTAGGTTTATCACTACAAGCGATCCATTTCAGATTGTTTTCATATTGTAATTTGGTGTCAAGAAGTTAGAACAAACTGAGAGACTCTTAATATCTACTTAATGCCCACGCATTATGTTTTGTACAGCAATCCTACCTTGGGTCCTGGACTTCCTTTTTCTCCTTTGGCCCCCTGTTTTTAGAATAAAAATAAATTAAAATGTCATTAATGTGTTGTTACCATTATCTAGAAACCATATTATGATTAAGGGTGATCTGAAAAGACAGTTTATATAAATGTTTTTGGGTTTTTTTTTGCATTATCACAGTTTACCTGGCAGGATCCAGCATGCAAACATTTACCTGTTCAATGTTCATTAAAACATTCACACATTGTCAGCAATTTGTTGGGAGAATTTCAAGCTACAAGCGACCAAACTAGCCAGCTGGCTACTACTTGCACCATGAACTGCAAGTGTGAACTTTTTTTGGCTTTGACATTAGCCTAACACAAATGAATCACATCACTAACTTTACCCAACACTGATTGGTACAGTTGTTGATTGGTAAAGTTTTTGCTAATGCTAAGATGAAAATTACTGTCTCAACTGCGACCTTTGTGAAGTGCCACAACCACTGATTGGGAAGTGCTCAGCGTGTTTAGTGGATTAATTACCTATCCACAATTACCTGTCCACATTATCTGCTTATTTTTAGCCTTTGGTCGACCTTGAACAGAGCCTTTTCACTTCTATGAGTGACCAAACTACTTTGCAACCAGTCACTGCAAATGTAATGTAACCAAGAATCATCAACACATTTGTTGTGTAAACACCCGCTACTTACCCTAGCGCCTGGTAGTCCAGCAAGACCCTGACGACCCTCTGGTCCTGGGTCCCCTGGATCACCCTGCAATCACACACCGCATAGACAGAGTTGGCACAAAGGCAGAACAGAGCAGAAGTGATTTCACTGTTACGTGTTAACCTAATTCATACAGTAAATAAGGAGAATTGCTTTGTGTTTGTGTCAGTACACTCAGATCATAAAAAGACCTCTAAATTTAACAGCTACTGAAAACCATATATTAACAATAAAGACTGAGAATAACAGAAATGAGAGAAGATAATATACTATAATATATACTATAAGAAATCTGAAGCAGTGCCACTTCAGAATCAGCTTACCTTGACAGAGAGCCCTGGAGCACCTGTGGCTCCATCCTCACCCTACAAAAGACATGAGAAAGCATCTTCAGCTACAAGAACAAGAAATACAACATGTATGCAAGGCCACACTACTATTATTTCTAAGAGTACAGTCTAGACCTGGTCTATATGACCTGGTCTATATGAAAAATGCAGAGAGATAAATACTGTATTGAATTGGTGCTATAAAATAAATAATAAATAAATAGAACTACTTACAGAGAGATATATACGGTATATTAGCTATTAAAAATAGAATACTTTCTGTAAGCCTAAAGCATTCATTTAATGCATTTTCATAAATGGATTACCTTAGGTCCGGATGGGCCAGGTAGGCCAGGGGGACCCTGAAAAAAAACAAAACAGAAATAACTTGCTGTATATGAAATAAAATATACTGTCTACATAAAAACACACACACTCTGGCAATTACCTGTGGGCCTCTGACTCCGCCTCCAATAAGCAAGTCACTCTTCCCAGATCCCTCCATGTCCTGAAAACAAGAAAACAGTCTGATGTTACACATTGACCTGAAACCTTTTAGACCCACGAGGTCAGGAAGATGCCATCAGTTGCTCCTCTCTGCTCTAAAGTAACCTGTTATTCCATCTTGGCTTACTGATTAAAATAGTTCTGTATGGGTTTGTCAACAGCAGAGACTTGTGTGTTGATGTGCATAGATGAAATGGGGTCACCTCTACAAAGAATTTGGTTCCTGGAGGTCCGGGGGGGCCAGGGGGTCCTGGGGGACCTGACGGCCCTGTCTTCCCCTGTGGACCAGTAGGCCCTGGTGGCCCTGCCGTACCCACAGACCCACATTCACCCTGCAGAGATAAAGGAAAATGGGAAACTCCTATTGCTAATAAACAAAAAAAAACAGACAAAAATATACACCAGCACATGGTGCAGTAGATTTTTATGGCTTACTGTTGAGTAGTATATTACCTTTGGTCCTGCTGGCCCAGGTAACCCTTGGTCACCCTAAGAATGTAAAGAAGGAAGGAAGAAAGACGTATTACTTTTATAGTGATTGCTTAATTACTATTATTTACTATAGCAGTGGGGAAACTGAGACTATATAAGATCAATATTCTAAAGGCAGTCCATACATGATGGAACATGGACATCAAACAAGGTTAGATATGTGTATAGTATAAAAGATTATGAGAAAGCTGCTTGTAACCAGTATATAATCACAAAGCCATGGTCACTTGAGTTAGTCCAGTGGTGCCTAAATATGGCAATTCAAGAACTGTCCAGAAAATTGATGAGTAGGGACAGCTTTACGTTCTGTCCTGTTGATATCAGCTTCCCCCTCTGTGCTGAATCACAAAAAAAGCAAGAAGGGGATGGTCTATGTGAATTTCATGTATCCCACTCAAGCCAGGACACAATCCATGTTGATGATAATACCTTCCTTCCCACAGCTCCTTGTAGACCTGGATCCCCATCTTTTCCTGCTATACCCTGGACATACAAATACAGACAGACACAAGTAGAGGTAGAAAAATAAAACATCAAAATCAAAAGTCACAGAAAATATGCTAGTATATTAAAACAGAGCAACTGGATGTTAAGCTGTAATGTTGACCCTTTAGCCATTCCAACAGGGACCAACGTCAAATCCAAAGGTGCCAGTCACTTTAAAGGAATACTCAAATTCTTTGGGAAACTGGGTCAGCAGTCAGTTTCCTTAAGTGACAGGATCATCCATGCCAACATTTTTCTGACCGCACCACATACTAACACTTTAGTATAGATAGTGTTGAGTGATGGTTGACTAGCATCACGGTCAAGAAAGATCAACTTTATTGATCTTAATTTTACCACCTGATGGACGCAGAGCTGACAGAATTGGCTGCATTAATTAACAAATGAATTCAACGTTAATTTAAATGTATCTCCCATTTAGCCCCTTGTGCTGGAGATTGAGACTGTTCTGACAGCCTGCTGTCGTTCAGCAGTGGAGTCAGCAACCTTGGAGGCACGGATGATTTTGTCATCTGTTTTCTCATCACTTAAGAGGAAAGTTGAAGTTATTAAACATTCAGTGTATTCCTTGTATAACTTTGCAGCATCAGACCAAAGTACAGCAATGTTTATGTACAACTGTTTTGTACAAACTGACAACATAGTGTACCAGAGGCCTGTACCAAGGCATACTGAATTATTAATTGCTGACGCGAGGCTCATTAAGTTACTGGCTCCTAAAATTCTATACTTATACCCAACTACTGGCAGAGCCGGTTGATCCTTTGAGTACTTAAATCCAATACAGGATATCTTGACTACTGCTACTCAACTACTGACCAACCTGCCATTAAATCATCTGCTTATATTTATGTGTAAAGGATGAATCCCTTGGTGACCCCATGACCTCTTCTCCAGTGGCACTGTCATGTCAAAATCTTTACTCGTCCAACAGTTGGTCAAACATTACACTATATTCAGGCCACAATGTCAGCAGGCAGGTTATGATAACATTTGTTAAGCACATTCATGAGAATAATCTGTTTAATGGGCTTTCCTCTTGTGCCACTGTTAGGATGTTACATTTTTAGTTTCAGTACTGGTAAGGCTCACACTGTGCTTTCAGACCAAAGGCAAATTGAGGGTTGGAAGTTGAACTACCTGCCGATTTCTGAATATGCGTCTGTTACTTTATTCCAGCCATCGTTATACTTTACCGTGAACAAGTTAGCATAGCATAGCCCTGATCGATCTGAACCCCATTCAGAAAACAAACATTTTAAAAGTTGTTGTCCTGCTGTCTCACTGACAGACCTGACAAAGCATGAATTCATATGTTTAACAAATCTGCATCATGCTGTAGTTATTTCGGCATCAGTTTGATCCATTTATTTCAACTAAATCACAGCAAATTGTTTACTTTAGGTTCATACAGTTTTAGTAATCACGGGTTGTGTTCATTCGCATTATTGTGTTGTGTGTGAACACTTGGCAGTAGTCCAGTGATAAAACGCGAGGATTAAACCTGCGTTTGGTCTGAATGCGCAATGCAAATTGTCATTATGTTATTAGCCTGTAGGAACATTGTAGTCTTGTTATCATATCATAATGGGAAATTCAGAGGCTGCTCAAGGATATTTTTAAAAATTAAGCTAGGTATCAGTTATAAATAAAGTTTTTCTGATAAATGTAATAACTCAGTTTTAGATCACATCAGAGCACATCAGTATGCCTTGGTACTGTGCATTGACTGAGAACATCCAATATAAAGCAAGATACAAAAAAAAGTGAAACAGATGAAAAGGCAGATTTGTTCCTTTACCATGTTGTGTGAAAAATGCAAAAAAGGCAGCTAAAATTTAAGTTATTGAGCAAGTTTGTGGTCAGTTCCCTTCAGTTCATTCACCTTGTCATGAAAAGTGAACTTCACACTGAAATGTTTCATTTGGTAATGACAACATTTGAACTGAGAGTAAATGAACCAAAACTAAAATTCCAAGCAGGTCATACAGTATAGTTAACGTATGTAAGCAATGACACTGGCTGCCAGGGGGATTATCAAGGGGCAAAGAAAGCAGCGATACCTACCACACACTCACATACACAGAGCACTTCAGTCAGCCAGGTAAAAAGAGCTTCAGTTTAGCCAGCTGCCAGCCCGCAATAAAGACAACATGGTTGGAAACAATCTACAATCATCAGCCTGAGCAATGGGGCAATGTGGGGCAAAGTTAGTCTTTATCACGGATGTCACTGTTATAACAAGAAAAGAGCGCAACTGAGTGGAATAAAACACTACAATGGTCTCAGATTGGCATTTAATATTGTTCAGTATTGTAGATGAGTGTTGCTTCCTCAATACTCAGGCTTCTGACTGTAATTCTGCCTTCTGATAGTTTGCTGGTTTACCAAGCAAACCAGGACAATGTACCTCGCCTGAACCCCAAGCAGAACCAAAGTCGAGCCCAGAACCAGATGCAAAACTGGATTCAGAGCGGACCCCGGAACTGAAACCAGAGCCGAGGTCAGAGGACAACTCTGAACTCAAACCTGAACCATCAGGCCCAGAACCACTAAACCAATCCTCAAACATCTGAAACAAAGTGGGGAGAAAGACGAGGTGGCAGGAGGGGAGCAGAAATACAGGTAGAGGGAGGATAAAAGACAGACTGGTCATTGGCCGTGACACACATACATATTGATCACTACAATATGATTTAAGAAGAAACTTGAAAATTGAATTGGAAATAGAGAGAAGATTTAACTAGATTTGGATAAAAGCGTGTAACATTATAAGAGACTAAATGGGGAAACTAAAAAAGACAGACAGTACACAATGATAACAGAGACAGGAACACAACAACACAGCAAGTAAAACGTGAATGGAAAGTATTAAATGAGTAAATATGTACACATAAATAATGTCATTAAACAAACTAAACAAATCTAGCAAAGAATGCTATAACATATTTTACATTATTCTGGCATTAAATTATTATTTTTTTTATTATTAGTTTTTGTGTTGCTTTCTCTGTGCCGGAGTTATTTTAAGAACTTTATGGCTTTATCCAGTTTGTTATTAAATTTGTAACAAACTTTATCGTGCGTCTCTCCGTTATACTCCCGCACAAAAAAAAACTGTTTTCAATTGTCAAGCATAGCCTATAGTTTTTCATTATATTCCAGTCAAATCTGATGTTCGTTTATAAATTTTGCTCATGGATCGTGGTTGCTGAATAATGATGCCTGCGCTATAGGCCTACGTCAGCTGGTTAATTTGCCTAACCTTTACAGGTGGAAATGCACATAACAGTGGACTGAAGATCCAGAGATCCAGGGACTTACAATCCCCGGTACTTTTCAGTACAAAGACAGGTTTGCAGGTCTTTCTTATGTTTGTAATACCATTAAACTGAAAGTTGAACGCTGTACGTCTTTCAGCCGGGTAACTTACAGGTATTCCAGGTTTGCCTGGGAGCCCGTCTCTGCCAGGAGCACCGGGTGGTCCAACAAGCACTGGATGTAGGCCATCGGCTGTGTCAGACGATGACATGTTATGTCCAGGGGGACCAGGAGGTCCTGGAGGCCCTGGTAGACCGGGAGGACCCTAGTGGAAAGATAGTATTTACTTTTATCCTTTTTTGAAACTTTTAAATGATCAACTATCCCATCTGTCGCTGGAGCCTTTCTCTTACCCTGATGAGTTCAGTGTCGCTATCCAGGTCTTCAAACCCAGAACCCAGGGCATCTGCTCCATACTACAACACAGATAAACAAAGAGTCTGTTTGTGATGCTTCAAACATCTTGCCTTTGCTCTGGTTGCCAACTAGGCTTGACTTTCATCTACATTTACTGCGTGATGACATCATCCCTAAAAAACCACAGGACTTATGGTTTATGAGTGCATGTAATGTGTACAAACAGAAAGACACATTGTAAAACCATACAGTGTGATACTCACAGGTACACTGCGTGATCTGGGGGGTCCAGGAGGCCCAGGGAGGCCGGGAGGGCCTGGTAAACCAACTCCTATGTCTCCCTGTAAAGAAGGAAGGCACGGGGAAGAGAGCAGGAGAAAAAGATCTGTATTTTAAAGTACACTTGGTGACATATGATAAAAGTAAGAAGAGTATTTTGAAAAAAGAGTCAACACCATAGTCAGTCCCACAGTAATACAGTTTGTAATTAATTGCTACTTGTGCCGCACCTTCTCTCCTTTAGCTCCAAATTCTCCATTCCAACCTGGAAATCCTTGAGATCCTTTCTGACCCTGGACATAAAAACACAGTTAAGCTATTACAGGTAATATAAAGTATATCAAAAGACAGAAGAGGAAGTGAAGAGATAAATAACTTACTGGATCTCCTTTATCACCTTTGTTTCCCTGTGAAGACAGAGGAATTTAGGATTAGTACTAAAGTCAGAAGTTGATAAACACACACACATGCTTGCAATCCTTTTGGGACACCCACCTTCTGGCCATCTCTCCCTGGCAGTCCTGGGGATCCAGGGGTTCCTGGTGGTCCTTGTGTCCCTCTTGGTCCAGGCTGAGCTTTTTCGGGTACAGAGGTGGGGCCAGGGGGACCAGGTGGTCCTCTGGGTCCAGGATCTCCACGCTCTCCTTTTAACCCATGCCTGACATGACCCTTGAAATAAAAAAAAAACCTCTCATATCTTTAATTTGTCTAAGGAACGCCGAATATCGATTAAAAGAGCAATATTTACAACTTACATCTCCTGATCTCTCTCCTGGCTCCTCTGTCTGCTGTGGATCTGTACACAGTATATAACATCATCAACAGGTTTGACCAATCAGATTCTTTGAGAGTTGTAATATGCCTTGCTTAAATGCACCTCAGAAGAGGCAAAGGAGGAGAGCTAACAGCTACCAGACCCAAATTTATCATGCAAGTCCCGGTCACAAGCCCGATCCTCTAAGCTTTAGACCCTGTGTAAGTGTTTATTACAGAATCTTACTAAAGTTCCAGAAATGGACACAGCCAAGAGGCTGTAAGAACCTCACAATGTGTTTTGTATCCATAAAATCACCAGGCACTTTCACCACACAAGTCAAGACCAGATTGATAAAATCAAAGATGTTCAATAAAATAAGACAAACACAGAAAATATGAGGTTCTGACCTCTGACCACCATTTCTTCATTGGTCTCTGTTGGGGTCTGGTGACCTGAGTACTCATCGATCTCCACCTCTGGAGCCGCAGTGGGTGGAGCACCAACAGGAACACTGGCCTCCTCCTCAAAGAAATCATGAATAGGGTATAGGTCAATAGGTCACCCAAATTAAAGTGATTCTTCCTGAGAGGAGTTTTTTTTTTTCTGAGCAAATGTTGTATAATGGCTCACATCCAACCGTCAACTTTAGCCTAAGCTCGCTGCTGAAAGATACAACAGCGTATTATTATGAGATTTTGTAATCTCAGAATATTTGATTTTTGTTTTTTTCTTTTTGCTTTCATTGATCAGGAAAGAAAATATTACATAGTCTTGTGCTGTGTGTCGACACTGTTGCTGATGAACGTCTTCAGACCGGACAAGAAAGCATCCACCACTACTTTAATATGTGAAGGACAGTTTCCTTTGAAACTTCAATGTCACTGTTTCCTGATGGGATGTTTAGGGTCAAATTGACTTCTGACCGGAACAGAGGAGGAACACGCACACATGTACACAAGCAGTGCTCTTTTAGGGTCCTGATGATAAGAAGAGGGGTGTGCATCATACACAGCAGCAGCTACAACAAGCTGACACACACACATGCACACACACACATAGCCTAATAGACAAAATGCATGTATCTACTAAACTTATTTTTCAGGAGCAGCATATTTTCATAAAAAACTATTTTCTTGCTTTTGCTGTTCAAACCTACAGGACATTGTTTTTCACTCCTGTGTTAATCCAAAACTGGCTGAATTTAAAACAATGTTTCCATTTGATATAATAATGCAGCCCACCAAAACAAGCGCAGATACTTGCTCCCAACATTTCATCCAGCCAACTTACCTGCGCTGTGCCGTGTTTTCTCTCCTGTGTGTTCTTCGTTTCCACCTCTTTCTCTCTGTCATCCAGAGCATCGTCGCCACTGCTGTATCCTGAGGCCTTTATCAAATGTCACAGTGTGTGTTGGGTTTGAGAAAACAAGCTAATAGCAAAAATTACACCAACCAATAATGATGCCATGTCCGACAGTTTGCCAGTTATCAGTACTATTACCAACGAAATAACTAAAAAAAGAAAGCAATACAGAGATAGAATGAGAGATGGAAATCTAGTTGCTTGATTTACACTCCTGTAGGAATTAGATACATTATATAATGTATGGCACTTACAGAAGGCACAAAAGGCAAACAGTTATCAGACTATTGCTTAAGGTTAGTAATTTTACTGAGTTACTCAGAAGACTACCAATCCAAATCAAAGTAACTTGGTATTTTTATTAAGTGAAGTTATTTGACCACTAGGGGGTGCTGTTGGTTGACCTGTATGTTATTTGTGCAGCATTTTAAACCATTACTTGCAGAAACTTTGTCTTAAACAGTGGGTTCCTGTGTGTCAACCACCCTTTACTTTGTTTATGTGTGTGTGTTTCTCACATAAGGATCATCATCTTCACACTGCTCCTCAGCTGCTCTGGGATCACCTTTTATCACCAGCTGCTGAATCGATCCCTGGAGAGAGAGGACAAATTAGGAAATCAGTTTTTAAATACTTTAACTTGGTTATACATGTATAATGACTCAGATAACATATTTGGAAAAAGACATATTAAATCTCCCAAGCTAATGTATCCACTGAACTATCATCTTAATTGTGGTATTCACACTAAATGAGTTATGGGAGTGCATTTAAACAGAGTGAGAAAGACTTTAAGGAGTAGTCATTTCCTACAAAGTTTTTCAGTCATAACAAGAGTCATGTCTCTAAATGTTATGTTGCCTCTGTCAGTGGAGTAAGTTGTATGTTTTTTATCTTTAGGGACGGATTTCTTTGCATAAATCTGCACGATATTCAAACCAGAGTGTCATGTTTCAGGTGAAAGGTAAGACTGACTTGTAGCCCTTTTCTCTCTCTCTCTGAAGTACAGTCCACTTGCGGATATCACCGGATATCCAAAGATATCACGTGCACTCAAACATCATGGTAGTAATAGCGCTGGTTTATATACAGTAGTTCTATTGGAGCATTGCAAGAGATGTCAATCCCTTTGGTCAACATTCATACACAAACACATGCTGATTAAAAAGGGCCCCATGCCATAACTGTTTCCTTTGAAGCCCAAGACAACAAACCAAGGACACACACACACACACACACACACACACAGAGTGACCCAGATATTTCAGACATGACTGCTGCTGAGCCGAAAATATTCTGTCGTCATGCTTCAGATAACCCGTTCAGAAGTCAGGCTACACTAAACAAAGCAGAATAAAGAGGGAATGACCGCATCCACTCACCACAGCAAGAACAAGTGACTAGCAGCCTATTTTAGTTTTGTGTGAGCATCATTGAATTGAAAATGACAGCGATTCAGTCTTTGCTCTGTTTTAAATATACAGTATGCTGTCACTCCTATTAACCAAAGAACATTTATTCAACGTAAGAGACACTCATTTCACACACATTTCCTTTTTTTCCCTAATTGGAGTAGTTCATCATGTTACCTTACTACATTTTAATGACATGGCAGCACACTCAAAAGCCTGAGTCAAGCCCTTGATCAGACCACAACTAAGGCTTGTTGACATCTCTGACTTCCTCATCTGCCATCGACTTACTCCCCCATCCTCTCCTCCCTTCCACATCTCACCCCTCTCCCTTCCTTCATCGTCTCCATCCATTCCTCCCTTCTTACCTCCTCTCCCTCTGATCTTCATAGTTTTGTCCAGTTACGAGTCTGGTGCAGAGAGAGCTCAGGAAGTAGTACAAGAGGTGGTCATGACATTTTGACCCTGTTCAGACCTGGCTGTACCCTGATGCAGACGGCGTCAGAGGTAGATTAACCTTGTAAAACCATCATCGTCGTCAAATTTCCCTTTGCTCATTATGGTGGTTTGGTGATGTTCAGTAAGCATGTGCTTGAGTTAGAGGCATGATCAGTGGTATTACAGTGGTAATCCAGCAAATGATGTGGGCTTTGTAGATCATTGGCAGCTCTCATTTCTGGCCAAGTTTATTAGTGGACCAAATCCATGACAACTCAGAGTTGAGACCAGGAGGCAGAGTCGCAGTCTAACACACTTCTCTGCTCCTCCATTTCAGGAGTTACTTAGTGAAAAGTGTCTGCCCCCCGACCATTGAAATTATTTAAAAAGGTAAACAGAAGAGGAGCTGTGCATTATCTTGGCTCCATCCAAGATAATGTTTTTCATAAATGAATAACATAATGTGTTTCCCAGTTAATATGAGCTGAATAATGTAGTTGCAGAGTCATGATTCATATTACATTGACAAGTTGAGGCACTGTAGATGTCATCATCATGATGATAAACCACCGCCTGTAGTCTGCTGATTAGTCCAGCTTTCAGCAGTCAGATCAATTTATTGTCTGTAAATGTCACCTTTCTCCAGTTTAATGTTTTTAAAGTCAACTTTACAATAGTGAAAAGAAAGGGAAAAAAGCCTTTGTTTTTTCCCCAAAGCCATGTCCATGGTAGTGAGTTGGCCTTTGATTACATCATTGCAAGATCAAAATATAGGCTGTATAATGTATATCTTTCTGCTTATTGACAGAGATGGGCAGCATTTCTGTTACTTGTATTTGAATTACATATTTCAATTATGATATATAACTATAAAGTATTTTGTAATTGGTATTTGACAGGGCTGAAAAAGATAAGAACAAGATACTTTAGAGAGGAGTCATTTTGTATGCATGAAACCCAAGATCAGGTCAAAATGTAGCGTATGGCTGGACCACGTATGAAACCCTTTTGCTCGATTTAACACAACTCTCCCCTCCCCTGGAATAATATTCAACCCTCACAGGAGGCGGTTAACACCAGAAAAGTTTAAAATGTTAACTAAAAAGGCTAATAATTTTAGTGGTTGGGTCTTCACCAGCCATGTCTTTGAATTGGACAGAGAGCAGGTTTCTACATACTATACAAGCCTTTCTCTTTATTTTTGTTGTTACTGTTTACAGTTTTGCTTCACTACAGTATCATTTAACTTTCTCTTCTTTATTCCAGTAGAGTTCAAACTCTCAACAGAGCCTTGATACTTTATAAAAATATGACCATACCATTTTGTACAAATTCAGAAGGTCCAACGTTACAAATGTACTTTGAAAACACAAAATAAGTAATGTATTTTATCTTGATATATTTTTCTGGCTCCAATGTTTTGTATTTTATTTTGATACACTTATTTGAGGGCTATTTTGTATTTTGTAAATCAATACATTTTGTTGGATCTTTGCTATCTCTGCTAATCCACATAACAAATGTCCATGACCACTTCTTAATGCTATTTGGGTGATTTGACTCTTATTGTTGTAGTCTGGCATTTCAGTATTTACAATCCTATACATTCAAAATGGGTAACTTTTATATGTGGCTTTTCTGGTAGCTTTCATTTGTAATTTTCTAGGTTCAAAACAAATTTTCTGTTTTTTTATGTTCTGCTTGTTGCATCCACAAAAAGATACTCAGTAGTTTGTGCATGCATTTGGTCACAACAGAGAAACTGTAGCACTTTTACATGGTAATAAGAGGACAGAACACACCTACTAACACATGCAAAGAAATGTAATCTTGAGGCCAACTGAACATATAAACTGCACAATGATGTTGACACACTGGCAGCCGGTCTCATTCCTTCTAATACTTTTTTGCCCTTTTCACAGAAAAAACACTCCTTGTCTTTTCCTAAAAGATACAAAGACACCCACAGACACACCTACATTTAAAAGATTTCTTCACTTACCACAAACTTGTCCAGCCCTGTGCTTCCCGCATTAGCTACGAAAATGCCTGAATTGTGTGAGAAAGTGAGTCTTTCTGCCCTCCGGTGGAAAGTTGTCCTCTCTGCCTCTCCACAGTCCATGTAGAGACGCACCTCTTCATGCTCCACCACCACCTGTTAAGACAGATCAAATACAGCCATTTAATGTAGTGGTTTATCATGGATTTTCTCATTATTGTCAATATAATGGCCTTTACTCTTATTTTTGAAGAACTGATTAGTAAAGATGCAAAGATTTAGGTTGATATGATGCCGCGTTGTGTGTATCATTTTACAACAAAGAAATGTTCCTTCCAGTATAGAAATTCTCCTATCTTGATAGAGTAGAAACTCAAGGTTCAATCCCTATTCCTATTTAACTGTAAAAATAAATAAATAAATAAAAAATTAAAAATTATAGGTCTGTATCAGCTGAATCATTTGTCATACACAGCATGTAATGCTCACCGTGAATCGTGTCCACTGGGCGGTCATATCTGGGACACTAAAGGCAGCAGCTTTGTGGCTGTGGGAAGCTTGCTTTCCGTCGGTATAGTACAGTAAGATGCTCTGGAGGCCTCCACGCACCGGAGTGAGGGCCAAACCCAGCTCCACTACCTTCTGACGGGCATCTGTGATGGCAAAGAGCACGCCTCCGTTCTGAGTTTCTGGCCGCACCTGGAATAAGGGCCAGGCAGACGACATTGGCGGTCACTAAAGCTTATTGATTTGGCATTTGGCCTCCATTATATTAATATTACAGTCATAGCATAAGATAGAATTATCCACATAGAATAAAAGTTATGCAATATACAGATATTTCACAGAGCAATATACAGCACTTTAAAGTATTATACAGAACAATATACAGTACGTTATAGTATAAAGCATCAAATTTGACGATTGAGTCTTGACCACTGTTTGCCCTGGTGACCCCTTTAAAAGACAGAATGACGTTGGTTTGAAGGGTTGGAGGGTTCAATTCTCAAGCATTACCGTGACAATGATGGCAAAGTCCCTGTAGAATGACCCAGGCACGAAAGTCTTAGTGAGCCGGCCGATGTTGGCTTCAGGGCCAAAGTTGTAGGCTGGAAAACCCTCATAGCCAGGACTGAAGGAGACCGAGGGAGGGAGGGGGACGCCAATTAACTCTGTCAGGTCCAGATGGCCTCCTGAGACTCGCTCTGACAGAGACGGAGACAATGCAAAAGTGTGTAAATGTAACCAAAGAAGGAGTAACATAACGACCATCAATACAAAAGCGGTCACAGCGCTCAAAACGCAAGAGATATCTAACTTAGCCAGATGTTTACTATCCAACATAGTGTTTTTAAAGTATTTATAAGCATATACAATCACTTCCCAGGCAGCGTTTCATTGTTCAAGAAGTTCAAACACAAGTTTCTTCTTTTCAAAATATTTCTTCAATTGCTTGTTATTTCCCCAATGCAAACTTGCTTTTCTTGACAGTGACATAATTTGACTGAAACATCCACCTTAGGAATAAAGGGAACCGGAATCATCTTGACACAGCTTTAATTTGACATGATTTGATCCAGACCCTGCTCACGCCTCACTGCTCTGCATAGACATAATCCTCCGAAACAGATATGCAGACACAATGGCTGGCAATTAGAGTATTTAGCATGTTTGTGAAGAGATGGCTTCACATTCCCTTGATTCCCCCCTCTCTGGAGCCTGTCTCCTGTAGCGACCGACTCTCACCTCGGCATTCCAGCCAGACTCACCCCTGCTACCTATATCTCTGTCATGCACGTACACACACACAAACAGAAATTCGTCTGCATACACACATCAAACACACATCTCACCCACGTGAACACACAAACCCCAGACCAGACGAGACAAGCCAACATTTGGGGGTCTCTAATTCATCAGCCTGACCAACTGGAAACATGCCTGATTAGAGGGTTTAAGGAGTGTGTGTGTGTGTGTTTGTGTGCGCGTGTGGAGCTCTGCACATTTATTGTTGCAAATACATGTGGTGAGGTGGGCAATCAAGATGTGCAAACAAAGTACACACACACAAACACACCAAAGCCCTTACACCTCCAGTCCAGCTGTGAGGTCATTAGTGCTCTGTAATGGCTGAAAAGGACAGACAAAACGCTGCTCTGAGACGACTCATGCTAAAACCAGCGTGCTGTCCAGCGACCACTGACTGAAGAGGTTTAATGTTTCATTCCTGCTCTGTGAGACACACATTTGAAAATAATGGCTGATATAAGTGGTCTTAGAATGTCTTGGCAGCAGCGACCTTGTGGTGATTATAATTCATGACTTGGATGGCAGCCATTTCAAGATACAGAAGGACCATGATCACGCTGTTGCTGCTTCAAAAAAGAAGGGAGGCGGGGGGATACATGGGTTTGTGAGAAAGGGCAAAAGTACTAGAAATCTCTTTTTAGTTTTGGGGAGTAATCCCACTGTTGAAAATAGACTTGACGACGATACGCTCTCCTTGTTTTACATTTCATCATCAAACTGACTTTTACTAAACACCTTATTAAAACGCTAAAACTTAAAGCCTTTTTTTTGTTGACATAGAACATAGATAGGGCCAAAACATGTTTCAGCTTTCCAACTTTCATTTGTTATATTCACCTAGAAAATAATGATAATATATTATATACACAATATACACTTTCCTGCGCCAAACAGCAGTAAGGACAAAATTTAACAGCTTAAAAGTCATATATTTCCCCCAGGAGTTAAAGGAGACCAGAGCTAAAAAGAGAGTGAATATTGGACTTAGTTATCAGGGCCCTCATTACAAGCCTGAAATCCTATTTTATCTCAGTTTAGGACGACACTTAGGATTTTTAGTAGTAGTTATTACAGAACTGTCCTAACTGAAGAATTTCCTAAGTTAGGAATCCTAAATTATGATGGTATAGACCCTGTCCTGAATTCACCATCGCTGTTAGGTCTGTATGACAAATAAAATGAAGATGGGGAACAACATGAACACCTAAATATCATGATTGAAAGGCTACTCGAACTGTAAGATGATGCCTTTAATTTTCAGGAACATTAATTTTGTATAAATCAACCGCCAAGAAGATTCATTTTGAATTTGACTGACGTGCTAGGTCTGTTCAAATATTTATCCTGGGCTGATCATTTGGAAGAAAACTTCCTAAAAAGTTGGGGTTTCTTCTTCTCCATTGACACGATTAAAGCCTCCTACTCATGGAAGCTAAAACTGAACGCCCGTCTGTTCTTATCCATTATAGCAAGCTAGCTAGCCAGTGACAAGTGAAGTGAGTCAGCCATTGTCAATAATGCAGGCAGCCTCATGTACGTTCTAAACACAGATACAGGCATAACAGGACGAGTAATGATTGAAGAATCGAGCTTACAGTTCTGGTTAGGATTTCTCAAATTAAGATAAGATACGAGGTCTGAGACAGGACACGACATAGCCATTAGCTAGTTTAGTTTAAGTTAAGATAAGACAGAAAGAATTTCTTTCTTTAATGATGCCCTTTGTGTCCAGAAACACAACAACAAACTCCAAATAAATGTAAGTTGTCGGAGTAGAAGTATAAAGTAAAGAACAATGTCTCAAAACTGTAGACAAGTACAGTGTTTGAGTAAATGTCCTAAGTCACCACTAGTTTTTTCACACAAACACACACACACTCACACATAAGCCTATAGAAATGAGCAACCATCATGTGCCATGGATTTACAAGTAGATATTTGGACATAATTTACATTGACACAAATGTATTCTATAAGCACTTATATTTGATTATATATTCCATGTGCAAACACTCCCATAAATCCTTCATTAATTGCCTTATTCTATAAGCACACAATCAATAAGACAGTTAGGGCGTCGGTCAGTTCATCAGTTTTCATTCATTGCATTCATGTCAACACCAAATCAAACAGCCTGTCAGTCATTTTGCACCACATTTTTTCCCCCTCCTCCTCAACCTAATCCTCGTCATGTTGGCCACATGGATTCTTGATCAGCTTGTGGAGACTTATAAAACCAATATTAACAACCATCCCCCCGAGCCTTGCTGCCTATGACCATTTAAACCCACCTTGACCCTGTGGCTGGGCCACACAAAGGCTTCCCGCTGCTTGGCCTACTCTCTCTAGATATTTCAGACTTAACGCAGAGCACATCAGTACAACTGTGTCGCATAACAGCACGCTACAGAAAAAAAAAATTAAAAAAGGCTCTGTTCTGATTCGTGAGATACGCCAGGACATGACCGGATAACATTTACGGATTACCCAGTGTAAATAAGGCACTGACCCATCAGCAAGACCTATTGAACCAATGATAGGCAATTTTAGGCTACTAAGTGTGTGGGGCATCTACGGTGTCTTGCTTAAGGTGGCACTAATCAATATTTTCAGATTAACAATGGATTAATTCATTATGTATACTGTCAAAAGGGGTCGCTCATGGTGACTTGCTGCATCTTTTAGTTAACTGTTTTAGAGCCAACAACTTTTCTGTTTTGGTTCACTCTCATCAACCTTGTTCCCACCAGCAACAGGCTGTTGATTTTAATTTAAAAACTTGTTGTAACACTGTAACACTCACCACTCTTCCAGTGTTTCAGTGGTTTATAATGGGGCTTGGCTTTGCTGCCTCCACCTGCATTCTCCTCTGGAGGTAAGGTCCCAGGTTCTACAGTGCTGTGGCCAAAGATTGACACTCCTGGGTTGGGCGTAGGGGCCAGCACTGGCCCCTCTGTCTGGATGCTATGCTCCAGAGCTTTCTCTGTCACCCCGTCCTCCTTTACGTCCCATTCTGTTATCCCTGGGTTGACAGAAGGGCCCAGGGGTGTGACGGAGGCAGGAATGGAGGGAGGAGAAGGCCAGGTCCTAGTTTTAGGTCTCCTCCAGATTAAACTCCACCACTGGGCTTGTACAGGAGAGGAGAGGAGGAGGAAGAGAGCAAGAGAGAGGCGAAAGGCTCCCATGCTCTTACTATGTCTTGCATGAATGTACAAACACACCAATCCTGTTAAATGTGTCTAAAAATCACTACACACGTGCACACAAGCTATTGGCAAGACACAGTGCTAAGTCTCCAGCTATGAAAGGATGCACACAGCCCTACCTGCCCATGCAGAGTCCTGTAGAGTGTGTGAAAGTTAATCTCAGTAATCCAGGAAACCCAGTGGCACAAAAAATTGCCAATGAACCACCATGCAGGTTGTTACAGTCCTCTGCTGTTCCTTCTCCTTTCTTGTTATTTTGTCTCCTCTCTCGTCATGTGCTCCTTTTCTCCATGCGCCTCTGTCTCTTGTTCTGTTTGCAACTCCCTGACATCTCTCTCTTTTGCCCCCGTCCTCTCTCCCTGTGTAATTACAAACGCCCCCTCCTCTGGTACTCTACAACACAGCAGACTTGATTTTCTCACCCCTTTTCTTTCAGACAGGCAGATTAGAGAGTAAGTTTGTTCACTGCTCCCTCCTCCATCTCCTCCTCCTCCTTTCCCCTCACTCCCATCCTCCCGTCTCTGTGTTCTCTAGATCATACTTTTGGTCTCTCGGTCTGCCACTCACGCCACATGTACAGTGTGTCAAGTCTAACACGCCCAGACACTCAGGTTTTGAATAAGGCCCATTAGTTACAATGCTGCAGGTGCAGCTAATACAGAGGGAATGTCAAAAGGAAAACACCTTAAGGAACACACCATGAGTCATTAAAACAAGGCCATTTAATATTGGCATAGGGATATACTAATGATGAGGCATGAGGTGAGGTTTCTTTATAAGGACATGGGGGCAAAGCAAACCTTCCACATCTCCTGTGGGACAAAAAAACTTTTTTCAGCTAAATGGCACATTTAGAAAAGTGTGTTCTGAAGAGAAATGTAAAAAAAAAAAATAAAGCCCAGTCAAACGATGATGACAACAACTGACATCCACTCTAACTTGAAGATGTTCACAAGTTATATGATTAATGTCCATCAACCCCAGAATAAGCCTACACTAACATCTTTAACGACAGTGCTTGATATCTGTAAACTAATGTCTGCTGATTGAAATAAATCAAATTCAAGTCTACTGAACTGAATTAAAATGACGCAGATGTATAAGAACATACTTTTATATTACTGAAATGCTTAAATTCGGCTATTAAAAGCAGATAATTCATCAAAAATGGCTTTGCAGTGAACGTTTGTGAGGCACCTAACTAAAAGTAAAAATTATAAAAACAGAAGGTTGAATGCAAGCTTTTGTAAAGTGTGGACGTTCTCTCTGCTGCAGCTCACTGATCAGAGAGAGAGGCCCCGTGTTAGTGATGACAAAGAGATGTCTGTTCTGTTGTGTCGAGCTTCTCTAAATGTTTGGTGAGGTCCAGGATGAGGGCTGGAGTACTGCAGAGGATCACTGGATGAACACACAGGGGCAAGGTCACACTGACCATGTCTTGGTGCACTTCAGGAAAACCTCAGTGGCAAGATGAATAAAAATATGAGTCTGTCTTGTCCCACAAGAAGTTAAGTTAAGTTTGTTTGGGGTTAAAATGCAACCTGAACTGAATACAGGAAACAACTCCAACATGCAAGGGTTTATGGGTGTAAAGTGACTATTTGCATAACATAAGAGAGGGAAAGGAAGTGTTATGGAAATAAAGTCAGCCAGGTTCGGGTGTGATGAAGAAGTTTAGGAGACTGATGAAGGCTTACACAGCATTGTTTATTGAGATCCATTGCCAGCATACAATGTGTGAACACATGCAATGCCAACAACTTGCTTCCTGTCTGGGAATATTTATCCATCCCAGACCTACATAGATTCACTAAGTGTCCAAATAAGACTATTTTCCACCCCTCTATACATGTGTGAAGATTAACTAATTTAACCAAAGGTCATATTGTGTGTCTTTCAAGGCACATGCAACACTTCCTCTATAGAGCTGGTCAGTCTGTCTGTAATGAAACAAAATAAAGATCATCTCAACTTTGGGTTACCGAATAAATGCAGTGCATCGTTATAAAGGCAGCTGTGTCAGTCAGTCGACCAAGCAGGCAGAGAGTAGAGACAGACTCTGACCTACTGTTTTGGAGAGTCCCTGGCTGTTACCTTTGGCTCACTTTAGCTCAGCAAGTGACCCTAACATGACCTGGGGAAACCTCTATCATAGTATCACTAAAATTCCATCACAGGTAGACCAAACAAATGTATTTATTTATTTTTGCTTGGTGGACAAGTTGATGTATTGATGAAAGCAAAATAAGTGCAATGGAAGCAGACTTGGCAAATAAATCCTGATATTTATGAAGCATGTGACTTCAGTGACGCTTTCACTCCACTTAAGAGATGGGGTGGCCCTGCTCAGGAAGTAAAGCAGGTCATTCATTAATCAGAAGGTCGGTGGGTCGATCTCGAGCACCTCCATTTACCAAACATCAGGTCTGTGTGGAGTGTTGCAAAGACTATAACCTTCCTAAAATGACAACATGAAACAAATATTAATCTTGTTGCTCCGTTTTCTGCTGCAGTGGTTTAATTGGACCTGACTACAGTTTGTGCCACCAACTATTCACTTAGTTGAACCTTACTACTAATGCTCGGATTATGGTAGTGGATGAAAACACTCATTAATTCACATTGTCTTGTCCATTTTCTGGAAAGTCAGTTAAAATTTGGCTACATTTGATAGAGACTTGACAACTGTTGTTGAAATTCTGAGTTTTAGTTAAACCCATTATCCTTCATGGTAAGCAAGTTTTAAAAAAGTATTTTTGGGGTTGCATCAACCGTGTTTCTAATAATATTAACAATGTCTGCATTTTATTAAAGTGACAGTGAACCAGCATGCACAATACCAGGATCCTGAAACCAAAGCAGCGAAATGGAATTCAGCCATCTTTAACTCTATTATTTATATGTGTGGACTGGATTAAGAAATCATATGTTTAGAAAGAGAAAAAAGAAATGTAGAAATTCTTCAACTTAAGTAAAATATTTTATATTAACATTAAATCAAATGACTGTGTCAAGTAAAAGGGGTTGCTCCTACAGCAAACCCACAGAGATTATCGCCGAGATCTGCAGCTCTTGGAAGCTTATCCGCCTCTTATACTGCAGGTCATTGTTTTGGCTTTATGGCCTACACATTTACTGTATGTATGGCTCAGTCTTACCCGCTTTCATCAAACACCAATAGGTTGTTTCCACCTAACAAAGCACCATAAACCCACTTAGACGACATGCCCAGCAGCAAACAGCAGGCAGAGCAGACAAGATTAGCTGCTAGCTGGTGAAAGAAATCAAACATTTTACACGCTAAAGAGACAGATACTTTAGGTTTCCTTTAGGAGTTGGTGGAGAGTACACCAAACCAGACTTAAAAAGAGAGTTACACTCGTCATATGGCATGAAGCACGACTCCAAATTAAAGTTAATGTTGCTCTGAGTCTGCTACATCCAGTTTGCTGCATGTCATTAAGCTTATTTTGATGTTTTTCTGTCCCCTAATTCATTCGTGTAGCTTAAAACAAGCTCACTTCAAACCAAATTAACTTTAACTAATTCCTTTCAAAAGAAAGACACATCTAGTAGAATGGCTTGACACCAGCAGTTGTTGAGGTCAGTCAGTAAACAGTTAGGAATCTAGCTTGGAGCATGTTTGCACCGTAGAATATAAATTTATCAAGTATCATAGCTATGCATACATTATATCTATCAATGCTATCAAAACTTAACATCACGTTTAAACATCAGAAACAGCCACCGAGAGTGGAACAGCGGCAGGTCCCTCATTTGTTACCTCACCAGAAAAATGGCTGTAGGCTATAAGTTAATTGTTCAAGCAACTTTTTAAAACCCATAATTACACTTATTGTTGTAAACAATTGGCCTATTCAAACAAGACAATTTCATTTAAAAAGATATCAGAATACCTTGTTGTTTTTTCACTTTGTTGCCTACTGGTGCATTCTGGTCTGAAGTTAGGCACGATATGAGATGAATAAATCCTAGTTTTTGTAATCTTTGTTGTAAGAGAGACCAATTGTTGAGTGAGATTTAACTCTTCTTTATTTGGGAAGGAAGAGATAGCACATCTTGATATATTTGATCAGACCATGAGAGCCTTGCTGATCACCACACACTAACGGATAAACGGTCTCTAACGGAGCAGATGATAGGTTTAAGTTTTAAAGAGAGGGTGAGGGAGGAAGCCCACCAGGGGAATAAGCTTGATTAGTCATGGATTAGGGGGGATGGAATGGGATGGGGTGAGGATGGGTTAGAGGTGGTCAGGAAAGGATGGGGTGCAACTTTGACTCTCGTCACAGTGAAACCTGGCATGACATACCAACACACACACACACACACACACACACCCTCAACCACAGACCCTCAACCCCTGAACCTTCTCTGGGCCCTTTTACGCTAAAGCGATTTGAGAGGGTCTTTTCTAGATATAACAGTTAGCAATTATAAAGGTTATATAAGATGATGTCTTTAATGTAGTATTAATGGGTTTTTTTCAAAGCAGAACAAGCTGTAATTTTAACATTAAAGGTACAATGTTTAAGATGTTTGGCCTCTACGGCGCCACCATGTTGAGTTTTTGCAACCAGCAGCCCCGGGGGCGTGACCATATTTGGAAGATACTGTGGAGCCAACAGCTCCATGTGGAGCTAGCTTAGCTAGGTGCATCTGTAATTCACGTTAACTGTCATTTTAACATGGATGATAACTTTTTCTAGCGAACAACAGTCTTAAAACTAAACGTGCTCACCTGAGACAGTGAACAGCCGACTCCTAATAAGCTTTTTCAACAGCGCTGGTTAAATTTACACAGTGCCGAGAGTACGAGTCGCCTCTAGCCTGATTGACAGGTCGCCATGGTAACGACCTGTCAATCATAGATAATCCCTCCCTGAAGCATACTGTGGTTTATGGCCTATTTTAAAATAAATGGGACCATAATTTACTAAATAAACATAATTTTGTAATTGAAGAAGACGTGAAACTAGCAAATGAGACCATAAACTCATCGGGAAAGTGTTTACTGAGGTAATTATTCAGCTGAGAAGTAGCCTAGAGGCAACTCCACCTATAGGGGGCAGTATATCACATCTGCCAGTAGCAGCATTGTTAGCCGTGCAACTAACTTTGCAGTCCTATTAGCTGACTGAGTCCGGAATGAGCACCAGAACCAGAGCCTGGCGAGTTGAGTACAGAACCAGCCTCAGCAGCCTCACAGTGATTACGGCCAGACCAGAACCAGACTCAGCCACAGAGACCGACGGAGGCCAGTTTGATGACTGGGAATGACTGGGATCTTCTTTGACACGACTGTTACTTCTTCACATTCTGTTGATAATGTTACCAGTGCACCTTCATCACTCAATAAAGA